TGGACCCCGGGATTTTTGTGGGCCCCAGCCAATGAAGACAATAACTTGAGCAGGAAGTCTGGTGGGGAAGAACGGGACAAAGATATAGGAAAAAAACTCTCATCATGTGAGGGTTTTTTCTTCTTTTGTTTACACTCGCTGACATACCTGCTGATGTTTTGTGAGTGTTGGTGAGCAGTTATAGCCAATTTTGGGCAAAGATTTCATTACAAAAGAGAGTCTAGATCTAATTTCAGATGATAGCTTCTCTGAGATGGCCCCCTGGCAAGACACATACAAGTCCATTGCCAAGTTTGTACTCAAAACTTTCCCAGCTCTGTAGGGCCTCAAAGCACTTGTTTCACAGGTGTAATCTCGTCTTTGACAACCCAGGGTCACGTGTGTGCAGTGCCATAATTAGGAAGGATGATGCCTGAGGCAACTCAGCTGATTGATTCATTTACTTCGTTGCTGTCATCGCATAAATGGTTTTCCTGGTTTTGCTTACTTCACTCTCTCTCAGTTCATGAGTCTTTCCATGTTTCTCTAAATTCCTCAAGTTTTTTGTTCCATGATGTAATAATATTCTATTACATTTCTGTGCATGATTTGTTCAGCCATTCCCCAATTTCAACTTTCCACTATTCTCCATTCTTGACTCCTTTGCCCCTACTCTTCTCTTGCCAAACCTCGGCCCATTATCGACCTCTTCTGCCCCAACTTAGGGGTTGCCGAATGAAGTTGTTAGAAATCCTATACCTGTGCTAACTGGTTACTACATTAATAGAGGCTTTTTGTTCCTTGCTAATCGATAACCCGTCTCACTTTCGACAGAAACTATTCCGAAACTTCTCTCCCCTCCCCACACCTCATCCTCCTCCTTTTCTTTCAGCTTATGAATTTGCCTCTTTGTTTAAAAACAATAAGACTCTTCAACACAAATGGCCTCTTCTCTCATTCTCTTCATCTCAAAATCCTAGGCATCATCTTCCTTTCTCTCATTTACCCCAGTGTCTGACAGAGCAAGCCCTTCTCCTTGCCAAGGCCAACCTACTCAGTGTTTAGTCGCTCTATATCCCTATTGTATTCTCCAGAAGACCGCATTTTCAATCATTGAGTCATTCCTCTCTGGAGCCTTCAACCTCTTCCCCTATCAACTGGTTCCTTCTCTACTACATTCAGACATTTGCAAGTCTCCCTCATCCTTAAAAAAACCCCAAAAAACCCAAAAACCTATCCCTTTCTCAGCCAAATTCCTTGAAACATTTGTCTTTATTTGCTGTGTCTCCACTTCTCTTCCTATGTACTTCTTACCTCTTCGAACTTGGCTTTCATTCCATTACTCAACTGAAACTACTCTCTCCCAAATTACCAATAATCTAATTGCTAAATCAGCTCATTCCCCACCCCTCAATCCTAATCCTTCTCCATCTATCCGCCATATTTAATGCTGCTATCAGGGATCTCCTGCATACAAGGGGGTTGGACTTGACATGGAGAAGAACCACATCTTCATCAGAGACTAAAGGAGGAGAGAATGGGAGATGATGAGAGCAGGGAAGAGGAAGCTCAGGGCACCCATCTATTTTCTCAGGCTTCAGCAGAGGAGAAAGGGTTTGGAATAGCCCAGGGAGCGTGGCATGGGAGGTGAATCAGGGAAACGTGAAAGGATTGCCTTTTGCCAGTGAGAGACCAGTTGAGGTTACACAGTATCAATTTGTAATGGACCCAAGGGGCATCAGAATCCCATTGTGTGTCTTCCTTCAGTACAGGTGACCCTGGAAGAGACCACTGAGTTTCCCTGATGATCCCGTCTCTATTGTTTTAGATCCTCAGGGCTCTTCCAGCACTGACGTTTCTAAGGTTCCTCCCAGCTCCAATATTCTGTTTTAAATCTCCTTCGCAGAGTCATCACTCACAGCCCGCTCCCCATGTCTCCTGAAGCCTGGTGGGCGCACTCCCAGGGTTCTGTCTTAGGTGCCCTCATCTTTTCTTTGTATATTTCATCTCAGCTATCTCAAGAGCTCCCATGGATCCCACCATCTTCTTTATGCAGATAACTCCCAGATCCAAATAGCCAGCCCTCACCTCTCTCCTGAGATCCAGTTCTGTATTTCCAATTGCCTGATCTCCTGGATTCATCTCCAACTCAACACGTCCAAAACGGAGTTCATTATCTTCCCCCCTAAACCCATCCACGGGCAGCTAGGTTGTCCAGTGCATAGAGCGCCAGACTTGGAGTCAGAAAGATTCATCTTCCTGAGTTCAAATCCAGCCTCAGACACTTACTAGCTGTGTGACCCTGGGCAAGTCATTTCACCCTGTTTGACTCAGTTTCCTCATCTGTAAAATGAGCTGGAGAAAGAAATGGCAAACCACTCCAGTATCTTTGCCAAGAAAACTCCAAATGGGGTCATGAAGAGTCAGACACAACTGAACAACAACAACAAACCCACCCATCCTCTTAACTTCTTTATTTTCTTTGAAGGAACCATAGTCTTTCAATTGCCTGGGCTCACAACCTAGGAATCATCCTCAACTTTTCACTCTCCCTCATCCCCACACATCCATTGGGTTGCCAATTCTTGTCAACCTCCTCAACATCTCTTGCTACTCACGCAATCGCCATCCTTGTTGGAGTTCATCACCTCTCACCTGGTGTATTTCGGTACCCTTCTTAATGGCCCTCTTGCCACATGTCTCTCTCTTTTGAATCCATCCTTTTCACAGCGGCCAAATTGATATTCCTAAAACACAAGTCTGACTTTCTCACTCCCCTGCTTGAGAAGTTTCCTATTTTCTCTAAGATCAAATACAAAATACAAAGTCTCATGTTTGGAATTTAAAGCCCTTCACAACCTGGCTCCAGTCTATCTCTCCAGGATGATTTCTCCTTACTCCCAGTCACTCATTTTTAAGCTCCAGCCAGAGTAAACCCTACTCACTCTTCCCCTGCACAGAACATTCTTCTCAACTCCCTGGTTTGCATAAGTTATGTGTCATCCATGCCTAGAATACTCCTCACCTCCACCTTGTGCATCCCCAGCTCCCTTCAAGGCTCACCTCAGGTACCACCTCCCATAAGACACCCTGACAGATGCCAAAGCAAGCCTTTTATGCAGTTAGTTCCTTAGTCTCCCTCCCTTCAGAGCCGGGATTGGTCCCTGTTTTCCCAGGTTAGACTCTTCCTGATACTCCCATTTCATAACATGTCTTTCTTCCCACTAACATATGAAATGTGCCTAGTGCTATCTTATTGCTTCCCTTCTAGGGGGAGAAGTTAGTATTAATGAGCCTATCCATGAGTACTCTAGGTAAAGCTTAACCTTTGTCCTACTTCCAGCCTCTTTAATGAAACAACCAATTTCATCCATTTTCAGCCTCTGAGCTACTTTTCCTCTCACTTTCATTATATGGAAACATAATTGTCTCTTATCTCTCACAAGATCTGTTGAGAAGATAAGAATTCATGACCAAACAAGATCTAGAGAACATTATGAAATGCAAATGGATGACTTTGATTACATTAAATTGAAAAGTTTTTGCACAAAGCCAATGCAAGCAAGATTAGAAGGAAAGCAGAAAGTGGGAAACAATTTTTACAGCCATTGTCTCTGATAAAGGCCTCATTTCCAAAACATATAGAGAACTGAGTCAAATTTATAAGAATATAAGCCCTTCCCCAATTGATAAATGGTCAAAGGACACGAACAGGCAGTTCTATAGCCATATGAAAAAAATGCTCTAAATCACTATTGATTAGAGAAATGCAAATTAAAACAACTCTGAGGTACCACATCACACCTATCAGATTGGCTAATATGACAAAACAGGAAAATGATAAATGTCGGAGATGTGGGAAAATTGGAACACTAATGCATTGTGGTGGAGTTGTGAACTGATCCATCCATTCTGGAGAGCAATTTGGAACTATGCCCAAAGGGCTATTAAACTTTGCATACTCTTTGACCCAGCAAGAGCACTTCTGTATGCCAAAGAGATAATAAAAATGGGAAGAGGACCCACATGTACAAAATTATTTATAGCAGCTCTTTGTGTGGTGGCCAAGAATTGGAAATGGAGGGGATGCCCATCAATTGGCGAATGGCTGAACAAGTTGTGGCATACGAATGTAATGGAATACTATGGTGCTGTAAGAAATGATGAGCAGGCAGACTTCAGAAAAACCTGGAAGGACTTGTATGGTCTGATGCTGAGTGAAGTGAGCGGAACCAGGAGAACGTTGTACACAATAACAGCCACATCTGCGATGACTGCCTTTGATAGACTTAGCCCTTCTCAGCAATGCAAGGATCTAAGACATCTCCAAAAGACTCACAATAGAAAATGCTGTGCACATCAGAGAAAGAATTGATGGAGTCTGAATGCAGATGGAAGCAGGCTATTTGCTCTCCTTCTGTTTTGTTTCTTCTTTCTCGTGGTTCCTTCCATTGGCTCTAATTCTTCTTTACATCATGACTAATGGGAAAATATGCTTAATGTGAACCTACATCAGATTGCACGCCGTCTTCGGGAGGAGAAGAAAACTGAAAACTCAAAATCTTCCGGAAGTGAACGTTGAAAAGTAAAAATAAATAAATTATAAAGTTCTAGATTCTGGGGCTCCTCCCAGTGGCCACGTGGTCCCGGGTCTCGGAGTGTGCGCAAAGTGAGCTCTCCAGTCTCGCCCTCCCCGCCCCCACTCCTGAGCGTCCTCCTCCTAGCAACGAGCTCTCGAAGCCTCCGGCGCGTGCGCGTGCCCGTTGCTAAGGAAGGTGGGACTAAAGGAGGCCGGAAGGTGGTGGTGGCTGTTCTTCGACTTTCATCCTCCGGCAGAAGCCTGCTTCCGGTCCGTTTCTATCCCGAGTCCCCCCCCTACCTCCCCGGGCTCAGACTCGGCGCCCGCTCCCCTACGCTGACAGAGCTGAGCCCCGCGGGGGCGGGGCCGGGGGTGGGGGGGGCGGCTCGGGGAGCTGGGCTGGGCGGGGCCGAGCGGCCCCCCCTCAAAGCGGGCCGGGGCGATGTTCAGCCCTAGGGCTGAAGAGGCGGCGGCGGCGCTGGATCGGAGCCTGCGGCGCCTCCTGCGGGCCGGAGCCGCACTCAGGTCAGTGAGGCTGGCCCGGGAGCGAGGCCTGAGGGGGCGCGAAGGCGCAGCCGTGGAGAGAGGGTGGGGGCGTGAGGGTGCGAAGGCGCTCGAGGACGGGGCGGGGGGAGGGGTAGAGGCGGCCGGGCGCGCGGGCGCAGGGGGCGCTGGGAGGGGGGCGGGGCAGAGGGCGCCCAGCGCGCAGACGCGGGAGGCTGAGGGGCGCTGGGAGGGGAGCGGGGCGGAGGACGCGGAGCTCGGAGCGCAGGGGGCCGGGCCAGTAGCGCGCGTTGGGGAAGGCGGGGCTGGGTGCAAGGGGCTCTGGGAGCTCTGGATCCGCGCCCCCTGCCTCCTGATTGCCTTGTCTGGGGAGGGGGCTAGTCCCGGCTCGGATGTTACCCGGCGGGCAGCACGCAGAGCTAGATTGAGAGCACCTGGATTCGAATCCTGGCAGTGCCACTTAGTGCATGTATGACCTTGGGCAGGTCACTGTGCCCTCCCCCCAGCTAACGGGGGCAGCACTAGAGGCTCTCAATGCAACCCACCCTTTAATGGACCAACATTTATTAAGCTTTTACGGTGTAATAGGAGCCGCCGGCACTGGGACAAAAAGGAAACTGGCGCAGGCATGAGCATTTATACAGCTCCTACTATATACCGCGTTCTCATTTGTCTCCCACAACAGCCCCGTGAAGTGGTGCTGTTATTATTCCCATTTTAGAGTTGAGGAAACTGAGGCAAACAAGTGCAGTGACCTGCCCAAGGTCACAAAGCTAGTCAGTGTCGTAGTCCGAATTTGAACTCGGGTCTTCCTGATTCCAGGCTTGATGTTCCCCGTACAGTGGTGCCCCGCTGGAACAGCACCCTTTCTGATAGAAAAGACTACATGTAAATGTCCGGTTATATCTGAGATGGAGGCCTTGAGGAAGGGCAGTCCTCACCTGTCAGCCAGCACGTATTAAGCGCCTCTTGTAGACGTGCTAGGCTTGGGGTCTCACTGACAGGGGGAGCTCCCGCTTGCCCATAGTCACGCAGCCAGACTTGAGCCCAGTTCTTCCTGGCTTCAGGGTGACCTCCCTGCATACCGGCGAGAGGGGTCAGTCCCAGCTGGGTGGGTCAGAGGTGGCCCTTGAGGCAAGGACCAGGTGGAGGAGGGGACGGCTGGGCCAGCCTGGAAAGTGTGCAGGATCTCCCCTCGGGGAGGGACTGCCTTTGGCCCCCATCAGTGTTCACTGACTGACTGATGGACAGCCGGGTGTCTTTCTCCCCTCCCCCAGCCTGCATGACCACAGGAGCCTCCCCTTTGGTCTCCAGTGGTCTCCAGGGCACAGCCAGTGTCCAGGGCAGCTCTGCCCACAGAGCCCACACACAGGGGCTTTCTCCTCCCCCTCCTCCCACAAGCTGAATCAGCTGGGGGGCTGGGGGGTCACTGTGGCATCCTTCCATTGCCCAGCCTAGCTCACACTGCCCTAAGGGATTGCCACAGCCTCCTCCTGACTGGTCTCCCCACCTCTGGCACGGGCATCTGTGGCCTCTGGCTGCCATCCCCTCCTCCTCCCTGTAGCAAAGTTGGACTTCGCTCCTGCAAGCACTGGAGCTGCCTCCTCGGCCTGGCCGGCCGGGATGCCAGAGACCAGCCTCCCTTGCCCCTGCCCCTTCTACCTCTGCCTTCTCTCTTCAGAAAGGGGGCCCCATCTTGCTCACTCCTCTTTGAATCCCTAGCCCTTGGCAAAGGGCCGGCATACACTAAGTACTTAATAGACGCTCTGCCTGTTGTCTCCCACCCGGCACGCTGCTGCCTGAGTGATTTTCCAGACTAAACCTGAGCGTGTGACTCCTCTGCTCCAGTGCCAGGGGTTTCCAATGGCTGCTGGGATAAACTCTAAGCTCAGCTCTTTAGCCTCTAACGTCCTGCACGGCTCGGCCCCAGCCCAGCTTCCCAGGCTGGGCCTCTTCTCTGTCCTCGCCTGTCTCCCTCCTCCATTGGCTGTCTTCTTTCTGCATGAAGCCAGTGAGTGCCTCCCCTTCACACTACCTGTGTTTAATTACTTTGTTTATAACGTTGTACGTGTGCGGTGTCCACTGGCCGCATCCTTGGGCCTCCTGTTAGATGTTAGCTCCTTAAGGGCAGGGACTGCTTTGTGTCTGTCTTTATATCTCTGGAGTCTAGCAGACTGCCTGGCACGCAGCAGGCGCTTAATAGATACTGGTTAGTGTTTGATCTCCAGGCATTGTGCTAAGGGATGCCAGGACAAAGAAGGACACCAGACTCAACCAGGAGCTTGCTTGCTTTCTAGCAGAGAGGTTGGGGGTGGAGGAGGGGTTAGCACCTGAAGGAAGGAGGAGAGGGCATGCGGGGGGGGGGGGGGGGGGGGGATACCACCTGCGTGAGCACACAGAGGTGGAAGATGGCATGTTCAGTTCAGGGCCAGAGCAAGACCAGTTTGTCCAGAACACAGAGTTCCTGTCTGGGAACACCACTGGATGAGTCTGGAGCCTGGTGTGTGTCTCTGGGAATAGCCACATACATTTGGTCTGAGTCTAGATCCGGCTGACCAGGCAGGGCGTGGCGTGGCGTGGCCCAGGCCTGGACAATCTTGCAGCACATTCAGTCGCTTTACCAGGCTATGGGGATTTCTTCTGCACTACATGTGAGGGAGGTGACATTGAGTCACAGAGAGGGAAGTCACTTGTAATGAAAGAACCCAGGATTTGAGCTCCAGACAAAGACCCAATCCCAGCTCTGCTGTTTACCACCCGAGTAACCTCGGGAGGGCCAGAAGGAGCCCCAAAGGGCACCGAGCGCCATCCCCTAATTTTGCAGATAAGGAAACTGAGGCTGGAAGAGACATAAGCGGCAGAGGTGGGATTTGAACTCGAGCCTTTGGTTTCAAGTCCTACGAAGCACCCTGCACTCTCATTCAAGGCCTCCCCTTGAGGGCCCCTCGAGCTCGGTGCTACGATCCTACGAGCCGCTGGCCTGGGGTCACCCCAGGAGTGTCAGACAGAGCTGCTGCTCCCTTCCCAGCAGATGAGATGGGTCTTCATGGTTGATGAGCAGGCAGGTTTTCGAGTTCTGACTTCCTGGACTGGTCATCACAGTGGTTGTGAGGCACTTCTCAATTCCTCTAGGAGTCATTTGGTCTTAGGAAGAGTCCCCCGAAATGAATGCTGACCCCCATCTCTCCTTAGGCTGTCATACTTTCCTAGCCCCTTCCAGGCGCATCTGCTGACTCTGCCTCAGTTTCCTTCACCATGTTTCTTTTTTGTACAGAATATGGGAATACCCCGTCCCCCAACCATGATAAAACCTAATCTGGGTTCAGGAGAGCAGATGAAACAGGCTTCCTTTTTGTGTGTGGAAGAGGCGCCAAGATGGGTGTCACTGGCTTTTTCTCCATTGTCACAGGGGAAGGAAGGCTCAGTGTCGGGGTAGTGCATGCAGCCAGGACACGACCAGTGGCTTTTCAGTAATAAGTATTGTGTGAGCCAATGTTAGAAACACTCCCAGACCACAGACAGATGGGGAAGTAAGTAACAGTAGAGACCCGTTCACTGGAGAGGCTCCTGGTAGTCACCCAGTGACATGACCACAGCTGCCAGAGTCACTTAGGAATGAAGATGGATTTTTCTGGCAGTTAATAACAGCGACTGATCAAGGGAAATATTGGCTGATGCCATCGACTCATTTATTGAGCCTCTGTCATGTTCCACATCCTGTCTGTGTACCTGATTTTGGGGTTAAGAATTTAGTATTCTTATGTACTTTTATTTATGTAGTCATTAAGCAGGGACACCTGCTATTGTGTTTTTTAAAAATTGGCTAAATTACCTGAATGTTTTCTCTCTCTCTCTCTGAAGGTGACTATGAGTGCAGTTCAGTTTTTATACCACATCCCAAAAATACCAACTAGTTCTATCTGTAAATATTTTGAGAAGCTTCTGTGTTACTGGTCTGGTTGAGAAAGTTAATATGCCATAGGAGAGATTTGCATTGTCAAGAAAAGAGCAGCCATGCTCTCACCCCTCTGAGCATTTCAGAATATTTCTGGTGTGCTGACATCTGAAATAGGCGGTGTGGTATGGTGGAAAGGGCACTGAATTTGGAACCAGAGGACCAGGATTCAAATCTCCTCTCTGCCCTTTACCATCACGTTATGTAAGCGTCCTAGGCCTCAGTTTCCTTATCTGGAAAAAGAGGGAGTTGGATTAGATGGCCTCAGAGTTCCCCTCCAGCTCTAAATCTGGCAGCTGTGCATAGAACACAGGACTTGGAGTCAGGGAGACCTGTGTGACCCTGGGCAAGTCACTTTAACCTCTGTTTGCCTCAGTTTCTTCATCTACAAAATGGGGTAATACTAGCACCTCAGTGGTGGTGTGAGGATCAAGTGTGATAATATCTGTAAAGCATTTTGCAAACCTTAAAGTGCTCCATACTGGCTGTTATTAAAACAAATCTATGGACATGACTTAGATTCCAGTTAGCCAACCCATACAAAATACAGTATTATTTTTAAGCCCGTAATAAGTCCCATCCGTTTCCTCCTGTCTGGCAATATAAATGAGGCCACCTTGCCCCAGTGATCCCGTGGGCAGCCTCTCGAGGTGCCCTTTGGCTTTGGCCCTGGGCGTCTGGGCCTCAGAGTGCCGGTGGGTTCTGCCTGGGTGGGCTCCAGGTCCTTGGTAGCTGTGACCTTGCCTTTGTCTGGTGATGGGAGATGACGGCCCCTTCTCTCCTCTTTTAGGTATAAGGTGATGAGGAACTGGGGAGTCCTCGGCGGGGTTGCCGCGGCTCTGGCGGCAGGCATCTATGTGCTCTGGGGTCCCATTACCGAGAGGAAGAAGCGCCGGAAAGGTAAGAGATGGCAAGCCTGGGAGTTGTCTGTAGTCCTGAGCAAGAGCCTGGCCTGGCAGCCAGGGCGAGAAAGCAGATTCTTAAAAAGTTGATGTGTTGGGTTTTTTGTTTTGCAGGGAGTTGGTTTTGTCTCTTTAACTGTAGAGCTTGAATTTTGGATGGCAGCCTATTGTTTGAAGGAGCTGACAAGAGGAAGTAAATTTTTAATGACTTGTTAACAGCATTTTATATCCTCTTGTAAAAAAGGCTTTTGTGTAAGGTAGTCTCATTACACTTGAGTCCGAAACAGGCTTTTGAATGAGACTAGCACATGACATAGTTGTCCGCCTCTCGCATTAATCTGTCAGCTTATGTTTCTTATTATTAGTTACTGAAGTGTGCGGGGATGGGTTCGGTGGCAGACTCTCAGTCAATGGTCAAAGTTTTGTGTTATCTCTTTCATAAAAAATTCTATAATCTTACAGAAACTCCTAGTTTATAACTCTCTACTGCGCCATGCTACCAGGGGAAGCATTGTTGCAAAGTGGACAGAGAATCAGCCTCATAGCAAGAAGACCTGGGTTCAAATCCTGCCTTTGCCACAGACTGGCTCGGTGACCCTGGGCGAGTCACTGGATGTCTCCGTGATCGGGCAGCTCTCAGGACTCTTGAGCTGAGAGAAGGTGCTGCTTTGCATCAGTGAAGGGCTCGCCTCACCTCAGAGTTCTCAGTGCCTGTGGAGTCCTGGGTCCTGCCCCGTCCTTTCTGTCTGTTGGCATCATTTTGGAGCTCCCATGAGCATGCTCTGTTTCTCACAGTCATAGAGAGTCCTTCCGCCTTCCTTCCCCCTCTTGTGCCCTTTCATCTCTCCTGGGAAAGGTCTGGCTGGATCATTCCTGGGGCATCTTTCTCCAGTGGTCTGTGAAGTACAGTCATTATGTTGAAGACCTGCCCTGGGGCCTCAGCTGAGTGGGTGAAGCTCCAGTGAGCTCCCTCCTCTCACCTCTCTGAACAAGGGCCCTCCATGACCTCCGTGGTGAGGGCTCTGTCCAGCCTCCACTCACAGACTTTGGACAGCCCTGATCATTAGGAGGATTTCCCTGAGAGAAAGCCTTACTTCTGTTTTTCTTTGGTTTCTACTCTTTGCTGAAGCTAAGTTGAAATCCCAGCTCTGTCGCTCGTGTGTCCTGGAGCCAGTCATTTAACGTCCTGGGCCTTGGCCTCCTCATCTGTAAAATGGGAGTATTGAACTAGAGATCCTCTGAGCCCCTCTTGGCTTTTGGTCAGTGATTCTGTGGTCTAGCCTAATCCTCTTCATTTTATGGATAAGGAAACTGAGGCCAGCGGAGGGCAGTTTACTTGCCCAGGATCTCACAGTAATCAGCAAAGTTGAGATTCAGCCATTCAGCCCTCAGCTTCATCCTCTGGGGACAAGTGAAGCAACCTGTGGCCTTTTCCACATGATAGTCTTTGAGATTGTGGAAGGCACAAAAGCCCCACCAACCCACCCAAAGTCTTCTCTTTCCTAGGGTGTCCTTCTCAGGCCCCGTCCCCTATTCCTCACACGGCATAGCCTTCCATTCCCGCGTCATTTGGGGTGGCCTCCTTTGGATGTAAACATCATCCTTTAGTGTCATGCCCAGACCGGGCCAGGGCCAGTGTCCATTACAGCTCTCTTTGGTTAGAAAACAGTTGTTGAGCCCATGGTATGTGTGGGAGAAGCCGTGCCCCAGGCAGAAGCATGGGGAGCAGCTGCCCTTTGAACTGAATCTTGAAAGTGCCTCTTAATTCCCTTAGGAAAACATTCTCCTTGATAAGGTCACTCTATCACAGAATGGGAGAGCTGGAGGGGACCTGTGAAGCCGTGGAGTCCAGTCCGTGCTGTATAGTTTCAGCGGGCGTTCCCATACGCAGTTGAAGTTGTAGGTCTGGAGTCACCAGCAGAGTTGATGGTCAGAGCCACAGGAATGGAGGGGATCACCAGGGCAGAGTGAGGAAAGAGAAGAGGAGGTTGAGGCCAGAACCTGGTGGAGCGAGCCCACCTTAACAAGGCAGGAAGAGAAGCTGGTGAAAGAGCCTTGAAGGCAGAAGAAGCGGAACAGTCCCTTTTCTGATACAGAGAGCGGCCAGTGTGTACAGGAGGAGGGTGCAGTGAGCGGTATCCAGAGCCAAAGACAGAGAAGATTATTAGAAGTGGCCAGTGGCCTTGGATTGGTGGGACAGAGGACTGAGGAAAAGGGGGATGGGAAGGAAGGGGGGGCATAGTTGGACTTGGCAGGGCCAAATGCTCTGTACGATAGGGCCCAGTTGCTTCCTGAAATAGACTAAGGGTTCTCCACTATGTAAAATGGGAAGGAAAAACCCCCAACCTTCCCAAATGCCCTCTCCACCCCCACCCTCCGATGTGCTGGGGAATCTTCTCTTCTTTAGGATTTTTTCAGTTTGTGTGACACTTCGCACTGGTCTGAACTTGTCAGACTTAGAGATGACAAAAGAAGAATGCGCCAATCTGTCGATCACAGTAAAGTGTGTAAAGGAAAATAACCTTAAAAATCGCAACAATTTTGATCCATTCAGTGACCCACCAGGACTTCAGAAGACTGGTGACAAGGTGGGCTTTCCCCCTGTTAGCAGAGATGAGGCTGATGGACTCCAGCTGCAGGAGGAGCTGGGGTGACCTGCTTTGCATGGCTACAGCTATTGGTTACAAGGTAGAGCTTGGGGGCAGGGAGCAGAGGCGGGGTGATAACGATGGAAAAAAAAAGAAAAGTGTATTAGTGAACCATTCAGAAATACACAGAAGGGTGGTTCAGAATGGGACACAAACGAGGAAATGTTTTTGACTTATGTTAAATTTAATATACGCTGAAAAAACCACATGAACAAAGTTAACAATTTTCTCTATGGTCCTCCTTTCTGTTCTTTGTGTACTGAAATATTTCTGTCTGTTGATGTTAAAGTTCACAGTAATTTTATTTTAAAATCTTCCTGACAGTGGAAATTCTCCATTCTCAGTTTTGTTGGCGTAAATAAACTGATAGCCTGGCTTCTAAAATCCAGCTGTAAGCCCCAGACCATTTTTTATCATGAAGCCTTTTATAGCCACTCTAGCTTCCTAGCTGTGCCTTGTCTTCATCAGTAGGACCACCTTCACATTCCTCTTTCAGAGTTGCTCTGGCTGTTGTATGTAACGTTTTCTGACAAATGGTGAGGAGAGTCTGGAGACCGGGCAATGAAGCTGTTGCTCTCCTTGCGTGGTCTAGGCTCTAAGCTGTGTAATGTCTAGCAGGCTGCTTAGAAGATCCCTCCAAGCCTGCATTTCCCATTCCCTGCTCCTGCTTGCTTGGATGCCAGTCTGGCGGGAGCTGGTGGCGAGGGCAACCCTTGGCTCCCAAGCCCGAGTCTGGAGCCAGATGTATGAGCCTGGAGCTCTTTCCGTCAGCTCAGGGACTCCCAGAGCGATCCCTGATGCATCAAGTGACTGGCTCTGTATAGCGATCTCACCGAGTGAACTAAGATGAAGAGATGGTCGTGGCTGACCCTGTGCTCTGTCCCTTTTCTCTAGGGCTTGTTCCTGGCCTCCTCAATTTAGGAAACACCTGTTTCATGAACTCCTTGCTGCAAGGCTTGTCTGCCTGCCCCACTTTCATCAAGTGGCTGGAGGAATTCACTGCCCAGTACCCTGTGGATCAGAGAGAGACCACCAAGCCCCAGCACTTGTCCTTAACCCTGCTGCACCTCCTGAAAGGTAGGGAGACGTGGGGACGTACGGGGGTTCTTCTGTTCTGGGGTCACGAGTGCTTAGCGGGAGCTGTGCGCCTTGCCGATAGTAGGCATCTCATTAACGTCCGTGGAGTCAGATTGTTCTCTTCTACAAGAGGATTCTGACTCGAGAACAACTGTGATGTTTCGCCAAACAAACAGTCCCAGTCCTCGTCGCTGCTCAGTCTTCTTGCCTCCAGAGCGGGCCCTCTGATCGTATTCCACGCTCTGCCTCTCCAGATAAAAGTTATAATGTGAATAAAAGAGGGTCCCGAGCAAAGGTTTCCGTTGTCGTTAGCAGTGTTGGTACTTCTCCTTCTCTTGCAGGATTGGATCCCCGCCAATGGGTTGGGGCACGGGTACTTAGCAGGTCACGTGACTGCTACAACCTCTACCTCCTGACACTTTTATCCAGACACTTTTCATTAAAGTGAACGTTAATGAAGGAATCATGGGAAGATAGAGCTGAGGAATCCTTGGCATCAGGCACAGCCCATGGCCTTCTTGTAGATCCTTCTGAGCCTGTTAGCCCCATGAATTTAGATCACTTATGTCTGTTTATCAGGCCTGGTTCCACATGTGGCTTAAGGAGTCAGCCACCCAGGAACAACCACCTGCTTTGTGAACGCCCTTAATCCTTTTGGCCACAGAAAGTCACTGGGGGCATTTGCTTGTGCTAAATCATTTTTATGAGGTCAAAGCAAGTTGTTTTTATTCTTCAAGTTTACTCCACACAATACAGCCTTAATGTGGGCCCTGAGGTTGTATTGTTGGGATCTAAATGGTTTTCTTTTAGAGCATGGGAACATCAGTTTTAAAAAGCTCTGTAGCCTTGCGAAAATTAATCTTCATTCATTGGACAAATACAGTTATCCCTTCCACATTGAGGGGGATAGGAGTGTGGCACCCCTGTGATTTGGAAAATCTACATAAAATGTTTTGGCCTTCCCTTCATACCAGAGAAGTCTGAATTTTTTTTTCTTTTATGGGGTCTTTATAGTACCTTATTATAAAATTTGGGTTGATATTGTGCAATTCTGTCCATATATTTTATACATTTCTGAGTCTCTAAAACTTTTTCTGTGGCTTCTGCAAAACTCCCCCCCAAATTCCCATTTAGTTTCTTACACTGACCTGCAATATATTGAAACTGCAATAGGGAAAGTCACGATGTGGAAGGGATAACTGTGTTTGTGGGTGGAATGCCTGTGTTCCCATTGCTGTGCTCGGCCCTGCCAGGGATGCTAGGAGAGATGAGATACGCTCCTCCTTCCTGTTGAGAGTCTTCTTTGACTCAGGAGTCACTGGGCCTGCTGGCGGCAGTGACCGTGGGGTGGCTAAGGAAGCGACAAGCTAGATTTGGTGAGCCACGGCGCTGGTTTGTCTAGTGCTCTCAGGTGCGCGGGCAACGCCAGCGGTCCGCACGGTAAGCCAAGAGGTGATGGCTCTGACTTCTGATCCGTTGTGATTGTGCCTCACCTGGACCACTGACCTATGCCATCATTTTTGTCTCACTGCTAGCCTTGTCTTGCCAAGAAGTCGCCGGCTGTGAGGAGGAGGAGGATGTCCTGGATGCCGGCCATCTGTTGGAGGTGCTGCGGATGCACAGGTGGCAGATCTCCTCCTTCGAGGAGCAGGTGAGAGGTGGGCACAGCCCCATCTGCACTGCCCCGTCCAGAGGCACCGTCAGGCCATAGGCCTGGAGGCTTGTCCCGGGTAGCTCCCACTCTCCACAGAGGCAGAGGCTTTCCACTCAATTCCAAAAGCATTTCTTGAAGAGCCTGTCCAGCCCAGGGCCTGGAGTACACAAAAACAGTCAAGGAGCATATGTTCTGCTGGGGGTTGTGTGTGTGTGTGTGTGTGTCCTAAAATCTGAAGGGGTCAGGAAAGACCTTGTGTAGGAGGTAGCATTTAAAATGAGGCTAGAATGGAGCTGGGGATGTAAGGGGGCAGAGGTGAGGAGAGCATCAAATTCCTGGCCTCGGGGACAGCCAGAAGCAAGAGGTGAAGTCCTACGGGCAGGGGGCAGCACACAGGCCAGTCGGGCTGGCGGGAAGAGTGGGTAAGTCTGGAAAGGTGGGCTGAAGCCAGATTGTGAGGCCTGGGGTCCAGCATGCGTTTCATCCTGGAAACCATTAGGGAAGCCTCCTGAATAGGTCAGTGACAAGGTTAGACCTGTGATTTAAGAAGTCTTCAACAAGCCTTGTGGGAAAAGTTAGGCCCCTGAGAAGGTACCATTAGCAGAACAGAGGAAGAGAGGATGAATGAACTAAAAAGGAGAAAATCAACAAAGAAGCCCAGCGTAGGCCCGGAAGAGGAAATTGTGAAAGTTAGAGGAGAAATAGATAAATTGGAGAACAATAGACTAACAATATCAGTAAACCTTTAGCTAACCTAATTAAAAAAGAGAGATTTAAATAAAATGGACAAGATGAATTCAGAAGAGAGAAGAAATAAAAAGAATATAGCAATAAATAATAAAAAACCACATCAGTCTGTTCTGAAAAGTTATTCACCACGGTCAAACTGAATTGGTTTGGCATTAGGAAAACAGTTAACATTATTGATCTTTTAAAAGCAAAAACACTTCACCTTCTGATTATGGATGCAGAAGAGAGTCAGTTGGGCAGCTCTTTGGAGGGAGGGATTGGAGAGGGGAGAGATCAGTTGGTCTATCAGCAAGCACTTGTCCAGGGTCCCTTGGGGGCCAGGCACTCTGCAAGGCACTGAGAACACAGAGACAAAGAGAAAACTGCCTGCCCTGAAGGAGCTTATGATCAAGGAAACATGTTCACGTCGAAGTGGATACAGAATTTATGTCCGTACAAAAATAAGTACAAGGTAGTTTTGAGGGAGGCATTAGCATCTGAGAGGAATAGGAAAGGCTTGTGTAAAAGGTGGCACTGGAGCGAGGGATCCAGAGAGGGAGAAGTGGAGATGGTGTGCATTCCAGGCAAGGAGGCACAGCCTATGCAAAGGCAAGGAGGTGAGAGGTGTAACTTCAGCAAGGTCAGTTTGGCTCAACTGTCAGGTGTGTCCAGATGAGAAGTGATGACGGCCAGAGCAAATGTGGGGACCATGAATGAAGAGAATGGGAAGATGCATACAATAGGTTGTGAATAAAGAATTGATGAGACATGGCAACTGTTTGGATGTGGAGGGGGAGGAGAAAGGCAAGAGTTAGGGGGGGTGAGGGGCACAGTGAGAGAGATTAGAAGCCCTGTTAGGGACAGTGGTGAGCTTGGGAGGAGATGCCTGCTGGATGGGCAGGCGTAGACACCGGCCGGCAGTGTTGAGATCCCTGCTGGACACTGGTTGTGCCGGCCGCGCCGTGCACTCTCCTCCTATAAGGAGCAGGCTGCCAGAGTCATACTTACCAGTCTTCGGGGCCTCCCCGGATAAACACACAGAGACGAGCTGACCAGGAGGTGCCAACACCCGAGCTTTATTCAGAGGCCATCACAGCAAGGCCAAGCAGGAAGGCCATAGCAAGAGAGCAGGAGCAAAGAGAGCACATGCTCCGACCAGGACCGTTCCTTAAGTACCTACTTAGCCCCTCCTCCTCAGCCCGCCTACTAGTCATTGATTGTAGGATCAGATACCGGAAGGGGGTTGTCTGGGGTAGTGCTGCACCAAGGGAGAGGAAGTGACGCAGGAGGCTAGGACCGGATACAGGAAGGAGGCGTCTGGGATTAGTGCATAGACAAAGAGAGAGTACGTGACCTAGATAGTCAGGAAGGACACAGGAAGGAGGCGTCTGGGGTTGACGTTGCATTTAGGGAGGGGACTAAGCAAAGGGAACTCGTTCTCTGCCGTCCCACTCCCACGTGGCACAGCCCCCTGCCTCAGGAGCACATGCTTCGGCTACTTCCTTGTATCCTGTTCCTTCCCCAGCTTATCTCACATAGCACTGCCCACTGCCTCAGGAGGGTGAGCTCCGGTTACTTCTCCATATCCAGCCCATCCCAGTTCACCACAACTCCGCCTACCACAGCCCCTGCCTCGGGAGCGTGAGCTCCGGTTACTTCCTAATACCCAGTTCCTACCCCATCTTGCCACAACCCCCACTTGGCAGTAGCCAACATCAGACAGTCCCTCACAACTGGTGATGTGGGACCAGAGCTCAGAAGAGAGATGAGGGCTGGATAGAAGGATTTGAGAGTTTCAAGGCTTTGAGTTGACATGTATTGATAAGGGAAAGGGACAGAGAGATGCCTGTGATGGTTTTATTGGTATAGGGAACTCCAGGCTGAGGAAATTCCCTCTACCAGTGCAGGTCAGCACCCCCTCTGAGATGTAGTCTTAGTTGCTTAAAACACTGAGTGTTTAGGTGACCTGCCCAGGGTCATGCAGCCAATCAGTGTCAGAGACAGAACTTGAACGCGGGCCCTGGCTTTGAGGCCAGCTCTATCCACTATGTGCTAAGTCCCATCAGTGTTGGTGTGTAGGTCCTACCAGCAAAGCTGTAAGGTGGTCTGGAATCTGGAGCAGTTGGCCTAGAGCAGGCCCTGGGCCCTTCCCCATCCTCACCCAGAGGGTCACAGGCTTCCCTGTGTGGTCCCACTGTCTCTCTGTAACCTATTGTCCTTCATCTGCCAAAACCCTAGTGACTGAAGGAAGCCCTGAGCGTGCCGCTACTTCCCAAGGGCTGGGCTGGCCAGGCCCTGCTGCCCCTCCCTGCATCTTCAGAGGAGAAGATGGTAGCAGCCAGGCGCCCCCCACCCCCGGGTTCCCCAACCCCCCAGCCCAGCATCATTGACACTTGTCTTGAAAGTCTACAAGAATGAGGCCAGAGATCTTTTTTCGTTTCCTTATTTTCTTAAACATTGGCACTTTTATGCTTATTTGTAATGTAAAGCACTTGGCTGCTGTTACCCCTATTGTTGTAGGAAATAGGGTCATCTGTACTTTTTTTTTTTTAGGCAGTTGGGATTAAGTGACTTGCCCAGGGTCACACAGCTAGTAAGTGTCAAGTGTTTGGTCTGAGGCCGGATGTGAACTCAGGTCCTCCTAACTTCAGTGGATGTTCTATCCACTGCACCACCTAGTTGCCCCTTCAGCTATATTTTTTTAAAAGGCACCCTATTAAATGAAACATTTACATATTTAAATGTTTACCACATGTAAAATGGTAAAATACTTTTAATCCAAGAATTAAAAAACCCTCTTTAACAAAATGAGTCATTGGGAGTGTGTCTGGTAAAGAATTTGATCCCTCCCCAAACCAGAAGGCCTAGGAGAATGGTTCTCAACTGCCTAACCCTCTACAAACCAGGCTGACCCAACAAGCATTTATTAAGTGCCTCTTATATCCAAGGCCTTTCTGCTCTCTGCCCTGCTGGGACCATGTCTTAGGCCTTTTTGGTATCCCCGACACCTGGCATGGGGGGCTTTGACAAGGTAGACCCTCAGCAGACCATAGACACACAAGATTTCAGAGTTGGAAGGGAGCACCGAGGTCAGCTGGTCCGAGCCTGCTCCATGCCGCCTGTCGAGTGATCTTCTGGCCTCTGCTCAGCAACCTTCAGTGAGGAGGAATCCTTTCCTTCGTGGTGGTCGTCCATTCCCTGTAGAGGGTATGAGAGGTCCCAGACCTTCGGGCTCCACCCTTCTATATCTTGCCCCACTTTCCCACTGTTACCTGCGCCATGGCCTTCACAGCAGCAACTAGATAAGCACCGTTGGAGAAATGTGCTCCCCTGCCCCCGCAGAGCCACTCCAGGTCCTGCACTTGACCTGGGGGTACAGCAGGTGCCCCTCCGAGGCAGGGACTGGGGTGGGACTGAAGGAGTCTCACGGCATGAACAGGGATGCACAGGTCGTTCTCTATGTCCCTCGTCTCCTTATGTCATCTTTCCTCTCCAAACCTACCCCCTTTTCTGAACTCCATCCCTCCAGTCCTTCCAGGCCCTTGGGCTATGACAGCACCTCTCTCTTTCATCCCACCAATCTAACCAGTGTCAGTGTTGTGGTTTCTGCCCCTGCCACGTCTCTGGACTTTGTCCCCTTCTCTTCTCTTGCATGCCCGCTCCCTTAGCTCTGACCCTCCGCACCTCTCACCTGCATTGTCACCGTGGCCTCCTAATTGGGGCCCCTCCCCTCTCTATTCTGTCCTCTCCTCAGTTGGCCCAGGACCTTCTCAAAGCACAGTCTGATCATGCCACTCCCCTAGTCAGTAAACTTCATGGCTCCCTGTTAGCTCTAACATCAAACTATGTTCCACTTTAAGTTGTCCTTTTGAATTTACATTTTGTATCCAAGTTTCACAGTGCACATAATTACTAATACCATAGTGCGTGTCTACAATGTATAAATAACCAGACAGACACCTAATGGGAGTGCACACTGATTAAGGTGCCCCAGCCCAAAAACCTGGAGACTGCCGGTGTGGGAGATGCTGCCAGGCCTGGACTCTGGGCCTCGGTCGGCTGGAAGGAAGTCTGACCTGAGCCTGGCTCTGCTGTTGGTTTTACACAGTCGGCTAGAGCAGGGGTGGGGGTGGGGGGGGGGTGTTGTTGCCACTGCCGTGTTCTGTCCCCTCCTGAGTGACCTCTCCCTCTTGGCTAGGACGCACACGAACTATTCCACGTCATCACGTCATCTCTAGAAGATGAGAGAGATCGCCACCCTCGGGTCGCGCATCTATTCGATGTGCATTCTTTGGAGGTAAAACTTGAAGACAATTTTCCTGTGTTTTTATGTAGTAAATGCCTGCGGAAAAGATGTAGGAAGCACAGTTGCGATGAGTCCAGCTTTAATCTATCCAAGGCCAGTGCCTGAGGAGAAACATTTTTTATTTATTTTCCCAAGCATGAAATTCTTCAGTTGGAGATCTCAAAACATTTTAAAAATAGTTCCTTGTTCACACGCAGTAGAAAGAGTATTTGTGTTGGAGTCAGAGCACAGGGTCCAGAGACCTTCAGGACGTCGCTTCATTTCACTAGGCCACAGTTTCTTCACCTATAAAATGAGGTGGCCCGGGTGATTCCTCATGGGCCTGGCTCTAACTCTGTGCTCCCGTGAAAGATGAAAGCTTGATAACGTGCCGTGGCACATGGGCAGAGGGCCCCTCGGCTGAGGACCGGGGATAGGCCCCAAGGACAGACACTCAAGGGAGGAGCTCCCCAGCTGGCAGCATCAGAGTAGACGGGGCATCGCAGGGAGGCTGGGATTCTTATCCATGAAAGGAGGTGGGAAGTGGGGGTAGAGAGGGGGGTCAATATTTTATTATTTGTAAGATGAATGAATGAGGAAATGAATTATAGTGAAGACAGTTCAAACTGTCTTAAAAGTTAGGGATTTGGTTTTTTGATGCCAATTTGTGTTGATGATGTGGGGGGGTGACGTTTTGGTGGGAAGGTAGGTAGACAGTCTGTCTCTTTTTTCTTTTTCTCTGCAGCAGCAGCCAGAAGCGACCCTTCAGCAAATTAGCTGCCGAATACGAGGTAGTAATTTTCTCTTGGTGTCTGTCATGTGAGAAGTCTGTTTTCTCGATGTGATCATTACGTCATTTGCTGGTCTCCCTGGGGCATGCAGTCCAGCTGGGCTCCCCCCAGGAGGCCTTAAAAGACCTTGGCCATTGTGTCTTGCATGGAAAACTTTCACAGCCTGGAGGTGCCTTTGAAACCAGCTCACCCTTTTCCCCTGCTCACTTTTCCTCTAGCAAGGCTATTTATGCTTCAGACGGGGCTTTTCATTTTCCTTGAAGGATGAATGATTGACTTGAGTCAGTCATAGCATATCGGCCTTTTGATGTCAGCCAACTTTGAGGCCAAACAGTTTCAAGAGCTTGGAGTCAGGAGACATTGCCCCACCACTAATTAGCTAGATGACCTTGGACAAGTCTCTTAACCTGTAGGCCTAAATTTTCTTATCTGTAAATGAGAAAGTTGTGGGTTATAGGACTTTCTGGGGTTCAAGGTCTCTGATTTGTGCTGGGCTTTGTTAATAGTTCTTAAGAAGGCAAAAATGACAGTTACATTTGCACTAATTTGAAACTTTATTTTTCAGTTGTTACTGTTTTTAAAAAATCAGATAAAAGTTAACCTCGGTTGTTTTCTGTAGCTGTACTAGCTCCCTGCCCCTCCCCCAAATGAAATGAGGACTCCAGTTCTTCCGAACTTGATAATTCCCACTCCTTCACAAGTTAGTTTCATAATAATGGATCCTGCCTCGTCTTGTCATAGTCATGTTTGTGGAAGGAAAGTGTGGAAAACCAACTGTCGGGGTCTCGTCTTGTTGATCGTCGAGTGGAAGTCCTTTGAGGTCAAGGACAGGAATTTAATTCCCGGTTTGAATTTAATCCGGCAATAGAGTGAGGCACAGGAATTCCAAGTGAATCTTCAGACAGCTGGAATTTTTAGAAGTCTTTAGGGAGTTGGTCTCCTCGACCAAAAGGGATTTGTAATAAATAAAAACCATTAACTCTTTACAATATGGGTGAGGTCACGTATTATTTACCAAACTTGTTTCCATAAGTAACAAATAATGGAAGTGATCCTTTGAGGACCACAGATGGCTCTTTTCAATAAGATAAGTCAGTTTTCCTCACAAGAAAGACTGCCTGGGGTAGTGGATAGAAAACTGACCTGGAGGTGGAGAAGTCCTGGCTTTAAGTTCCATCTCTGACCCAGACTGGCTGGGAGACTCTAGTCTCGTCTGTTGATCTCTCCGTAACCTTGGCAGCTCTCAGAGCCTGTAAGTGGCAGAGAATGTGCCAGTGTCCATTGGTAGAGGGAGCTTTGCCACTGGGACACGCCCTTCACCAGGGGAAATAGACAGGCCCCCAAACCAGAGACGCTCAGTCCTTAACAGTTGGTACAAGATCATTTCTTTGGAAGAAGCTAAAGCTGAAGGGAGCCTTTGCCTTCTCTAGCCAGAGGAGTGTCCACAGGCTCTGAGGCGCCAGTGTTTTACGTTTCCATACAATATTAGGTGCTTAATAAATGCTGTCAACTGATTAAATTGTTTGGTATCTTAAAACCTTAAATATTTTTTAAAAGTTTTTTCTTCTTTCATGGTCCTAAAATTATTTTTCTTCTAATTGTGGTATTTAAAAACCTAGGTCTCATTTTAAAATAAGATTGTCTTGGAAAAAAAATCTAAGAATGTTATGGAAATTAGGTTTCCCTTACAGACATTGGCCTTGTGGTCCCCTCAGCTCCCCAAATAGAGGAGCTTCACACGGAGTGAAGGGGCAGGGGCTTTTTGAGGATGATTAAAGGCTAAAAAGCTGTTTTCTGTTCTAGGGGTGCCTCACCCCGTGTCCAGCGCCTGGAAGTCTCAGCACCCTTTCCATGGGAGACTTACTAGTAACATGGTTTGCAAACACTGTGAACACCAGGTAAATAAAGGGCGTTCCCAGGATCTGGGCATTTTCCCAGTGGGGAGGAGAGGGATGGTCTCCATACTGAGGAGCCCTGATCCCACAGGCAGACTTGGCCTGCAGCTTTTGGGCTCATCCCGCTCTGTTTTGTTTCAGAGTCCTGTGAGATACGATACCTTTGACAGTCTTTCCCTGAGTATCCCAGCTGCCACGTGGGTAGGTACTGAGCATTGACTTGCTTTTTCTCTGATTTGTAGAAACATAGTCCTGAAAGGGAGGGACCTTAAGAATCCTTCTGACCCAGGCAGGTAAACTCCTAAATCCTCCAAGACAGATGGTTGCCTCCCTGTCCCACCCTGAAGGTGTTGGACCTGGGATTTATTCCCAGTTGGTGACCTGCATTGTCACATGACCCTGTAGAAATTTGGAGTTTGGTTTGCCTGGCTGCTGAGAGTGTTTTTCCAGATGTCAGAAGCACATCCAGCAGTGATGAGAAGACACCAATTTGCTTGGTCCCGACCCCCTTTTACTCTGATCATGTCTGTGGCCATCTAGGGTGTCCCCAGGGAAAGGGGGAATCCTCTGTGCTCCACAGACATGTGAGGAAGCTTCCTTTGCCTGTTTTCTGTGTAGGGAAGACAGAGCTATGGGATTGTCTGCTACCATCTACTAATACAGTTTATGTACAGATGTCTTTTGTATTATAAAAATGAATTTTTTTTCTCATGCTCTAGGGTCGTCCTTTGACTCTGGACCACTGCCTTCATCATTTCATCTCATCAGAATCAGTCAGGGATGTTGTGTGTGACAATTGTACCAAGGTATCTCTCCCCACCTGACCAAGTCTCTGCTTCACATAGCCCCTCTCCCGACCACGTCCAACCTCAGCTCCTTTTGGCTGCCTCCGTTTTCACCGTAGCCAGAGACAAGGGTGGCTGGCCAAGCAGGATTTAAGTGTTTGAACTGATTCTTCATCTTGCCTTTCCCTCCACCCTGGTGATTATTGATTGGCTGTGGATGGGGTCAGTGGAAATAACAGAAGTGGTGGGGCAGTTAAGTTAATTAGGGTAGGTAGAGGTCAGAGGTCTTACCTCCAGTTACCAAGCTAACTTGATTCTTTCAATGCCAGCAGCACGGTTGAGTACATAGAGCCTTGACCTTGTCTGCAGCCTCCAATATTAGATAAAATGAAGGCGCCCTATGTATTGTGCAGCGATTCATAGTATATAAAACACATTTACACCCATTTCTCATTTATGACTGAGCAATCCTATGAGGTAGGGGGGGCAAATTTAATATTCTTCTATTTTAAAAAAGAGGGAAATAATTCTCAGAGGTTAAGTGACTCGCCGGGCCTGGGCTGTTTTCATCACGCCACACTTCTCTTCTTCCTCCCCTTAATTCTGTGGAGATGCCGACGGTGGGAATGTCATCTTTTATTTCAGATTGAGGCCGAAGGGACCCTGAATGGGGAGGTGGTGGAACACCAGAGAACCACATTTGTCAAACAGTTAAAGCTGGGGAAGGTGAGATGATGCCTGAGAGCGGCAGAGACTGTTCGGGGGCCCGGGAGAAGCTCAGGGGGCTCAAGCTTTCTCAAACCCTTTCTTTCCGTTTGTGTCTGTAGCTCCCCCAGTGTCTGTGCATCCATCTGCAGAGATTGAGCTGGTCCAACCAGGGAGCTCCTCTGAAACGTCATGAACATGTACAGTTTAATGAATTCCTGATCATGGACATCTACAAGTATCACTTCCCTGGCTGCAAACCATGCCAGCACAATCCCAGCCTGAAAGAGAGCGTGGGGATGGCGCTGGACGTGAAGGACGGGATGAGAGCCCCCAGATCAGGTACCTGGCTCAGGCCGCCCTAGGAAGAGCAGTGGGGCGTGGCGTCACAGCCTCCCGAATCTCTCCTGAGGTAGACACATCTTAGATCGTGGAGGGCAGGGACACGGGCAGGCGCTGGGTGACCTGTCCACTCAGGATTTCTGACTGGCTGAGCTCCTAGGTCCCTTTCAGTTCTGCAACAGTAATTGTTGAAGAGCAGAATGGGGGGAAATGTGGTGGTGACGTCCTTTTGGTGGGGGGACATGGTTCATCCCTGTGATCCCGTGACTTCATCAGGGTAGGAGATTCCTGCTGTACTGAGACAGCTGCCGTCTGTAACTTACAGTCTTGGAGACATGCCCGGGGCGCTGGGATGTTAAGTGAATAATTTAATTTGAGAATAATTGAACTACCGTCTTTGTAGATGACTCTCAGATCTCCATGGAGCCCGGTCTCTTCTGAGCGGCGGTCTCCCATCAGCAGTTTGCCTTGGATGTTTAACGTAGATGTCCCAGAGAGGACTCACCCTCACCATGACCAGAACTGAGCTGGTGTCTTTCCTGCCAGGCCCCTCCCTTTACCAAACCCAGCCACTGTGGAACTGCGATCTCATCACTTCTGTTAGGAAGGGCCATGGACTTCTCTGGCATTTAGAGCTCCGTGTCATCCCAAGTTCCTGTTCTCCCTTACCCCGCTCACCTCATCAGGTGCCAGATCCTGCTGCTTGTAGCCCGACAGCTTCGACTATTGCAGTGACCTCCTGATCGGACTCCTGCTCCCTGTCTCAGGTCTCTGCCCGCCTCCATCCATTTCCACGTGACTCTCAAACCATTTTCCTTAAGCACTATTCTGACTGGGTCACTCCCCTACTCAGTCAACTCCATATTGCCTCTGGGTGAAAATGGGGTCTCTGATTAGCTTTTAAAGGGCTCACAACCCAGCCTCACCCTCTGTGCTCCTTCCTGGCCCTGTGCCTTTGCCTGGAATTTACTCTCTCCTAACATCACTCTTCTTCTTTCAGAGTGCAGCTACCAAGGGGCAGCTAGGTGGCGCAGTGGATAGAGCTCCGGCCTTGGAGTCAGGAGGACCTGAGTTCAAATGCGGCCTCAGACACATAATACTTACTAGCTGTATGACCCTGGGCAAGTTACTTAGCCCCATTGCCTAGCCAAAAAAAAGAAAGAAAGAAAGGAAAAAAAAAAGACAAAGTGCCGCTCAAGGACCACCTTTATACATAAAGCCTTTCCTGCTGCCCCTAATTGCTACTACCCTCCCTACTCAGCTACCTTGTATATATTTGTATTTTATTCTGGATGTACTTATGTAGCAAGAACTATTGGGATCTGACTCACTTTTGAGTACCCTCTCAGCTTATTATTCTAAATTTGTGCCCATATTTAATCATATCGTCCCAACCTCAGCAATAAATAATTAAACCTGCAATCTCCTTCTCGTTATTTGGTTCAAACCCCGATCCCAGTTCATTTAATATTATTTACTGAATGAACTGAAGAAATTTCCTTTCCCAGTAGTAGTTACTTTATCTCTAAATATACTGAATGAGGCAGCCAGGTGCCACAGTGGATAGAGCACCACACTTGGAATCAGGAAGGCTCATGTTTATGAGTTCACATCCAGCCTCAGATATTAATTAGATGTGTGACCCTGGGCAAGTCACTTAACCATGTTTGCATCAGTTTCCTCATCTGTCAAATGAGCTGGAGAAGGAAATGGCAAACCACTGCACTATCTCTGCCAAGAAAACCCCAGATGGGATCTCAAAAAGTCAGATACAACTGGAATGACTAAACAACAACAAAATATATCGAATACCTTAATCTCTTATGATTAAAGAGATACTCAGATTACTAACTATACAATTTATTGATCAATTAAATAATTAACTTAGACACAAATAATTATTTAGAACACTTTGGCATTGCAAAGGATCACAGCCAGAGTTGCCTCAGACCCTTACTAATAGCAGCTAACTTTTCTTCTTTTAGAAACACAATTTCACACTTCACTTCAATCCAGATACTTACTAAAACCTCTCCAAAATCCTATTCTTATTTCCTGAAATTAGTTAACATATTTCCTAAATTTAAATTAGTCTTTTCTCTTTCTCTTTAGCCATCACAGATAATAATCTCTTTATCTCCTCTCAAATTATCCCTGTTAATCGCCTCTCTCCAGGCTTGTTCCTTATAAAATTCCTTCTATGATGCATCTTCCTAAAATAAGTTTCCAGACAGTTCTCACAAGAAATTTCTCTTCACCATCTTTTCTCTGTCTTCTCCACAGTTTATCTCATAGATCTTTATAGAGCAAAGATAAAAAACCAGGCACAGTCCATGACTCCGTAGAGAGAAGCACCGAAGAAGGATGGTCATTTCAACTGTAGCTGTCAACTACCAGCACAAATGAACTTTTCTGTAACATTACATTTGGCTCTTAAAGATACAGTCACATTGTCTGTAGCATCTCTGAGAGGGCCTCATGAAACAAGTGTGATGTTTAGAAAGTTCAGGAGACATACTTTCTGGGTAATTAGTCTTTTTATTAATAATGCCAGCATTTCAATATGAGAGGTCAGTGGCCCTGTGTTATGTTTCTCTCTAGCTACAAATATTCAGTCCCTCCCCCCCCGCATCAAATCCACGTTAATATTAAATATGACATTCATCTGTAAATACCACTTGACAGACTACTTTCAGTAATGAGAGAATCAACATGGCATTAACAGCAGTAATAATGATAATAGTTAAATAAAAGTAATCACAAGTGCAGGATAAAATTATCTGTGTATGTAATGACACGTAGCTGAAGGAATGACCTCTTATTCAGTATCCTGATCTAACTGGTTTATAGGTGCATGGCTCTGATTTTGTTTTGACCTATTCACCTTTCTCTGTTTTAGTGGGTTCATGTCATATAAGCTCATTACCAGTATTTGAGGATTCCTCAGGAGCCTCTGGGGCTCAGCGCTGCCCCTTGTCGGAACCAGGATCCTTGTCTTCCTGGGCCAGGTTTAGGAGATGTGGATTCTGCTGCTCTGCTGTCCCGGGAACAGGCTGAGCTTTGGGAGGCCTCTTGAATTGCCGTTTCAATGACCAGTTTCCTCTTGCGCATCGTTGAGTAGTTGTCTTAAGTCCTGTTTCGTTTATTTAAAGGTGCCTTACTTTCCAGTTTCTTCTTTAGCTCGGCCGTATCGCATTCAGGTTTTCTGCCTACTTATTTACTTTCTCTCACATTTTCTGAACACCAGAGCTTCCCAGCAGAACTCTGTCATCTTGATTCAGTTATTCATTTTTTAAAAAGAAGCACACCTCAGTTCTCGTGTCATCCCTTGTTTCTCGGTATTGACTTTGTGAACTGGAGCTTCCTCTGAGGCCAATGAAAATTCTCCTCTTGGACATGCTTGACGTATTTATGGCCATCTGCTGCACATTTGTTGAAAAAATCTTTCTGCTTTTCTCGTTGTATATCAGGACAGTATTTTTCTGTCAAACTGTTGCGAATTAAATGGGTGGGTGAGGTCATGCTGGTTGTTTTCAGGTCCCAGACAACCTCCACACTGGGCCCTGTATTTCTTTCCAGTCCTGATTTGTTGGAACTCAGCTTTCCACACCCTAATTCAGCTTTCTCCCTTTGAAGGCATTCGTCAATCATGTCTCCATCCAGGACACAGTTGTAACAAGAAGGTACTTCCATGTCCTTTCTTGTACTGACCACACTGGTCACACTCTTGTATGGTGGGCTGGGCCTGATGCAAGCCAGCCTCCCTCCTGGGTCTGTCGTGGGAATGAAGTGAGACACTTGTGGTTTACTGAGCCCTGGCGGAGGACGGACGGTTAGCAGAGAGGCTCAGCTGCCCCCCGCTGCCCCATGTTGGTCAGTCGGGAGCCTCAGGGCTGCCTGGGCAGTTTCCTACAGCCTTTTGTACTCAGCCGAATAGGGAGGCACAGTGACAGTCGGAGCCAGTCAAGTCTCAGTAGAGCTTCAACACCTTTGCAGAAAGACACCTCCCTCAGCTGCCTGGGGAGGGTCTTTGGAAACTGGCCACCTGTTCATGGCGGAGCCTGGGAAAGGCTGCGCCCCGCGTGTCTTGCAGCAGGTTGTTGTAGCCTTTGTCCCCTTGGTCCCCCTTCTTCACACTTTACTTGTCTGTTCGATTTTTCCCCACGTAATATAAATGTCTCTGAATCTCTGCTACTGAAGCAATTCTCTTACTGTGCTTTATGCTGGGGATGCTCTACGGGAGGAGCTTTTTTTTTGATGACATGGACATCTCTGGCAGTTTGACGATGCCTAGAGACTCCTCAGAATGATGTTTTCAGACCATAAAATAAAATGCATAAGGGTTATACGGGAAACCCAATTCTCTGGAAATACAGTGGTCACTTTTTTTTTTTTTTAACAAAACAAATTCATGGACCCCAGGTGAAATACTCCCTGCTGTGGAATTAGAACTGGGTGTCCCAGTTGGGAAACTCTCTTTGCAAGGATATGCCTTTACAGTTTCTCTTGTGGGATATTTCTGTCCCCAGCTCTGAGGATCTAGCTGTAGCTTCACACCCATATGAGTTCCCCTTTTCTTCTTTAGATGAGGCTGTATGCCTTCTCAGAGAGGATCTGCCCCCATCTGACTCAGATATCCCAGCAGCCTTGCTTTCAGGCCTCCTTTTCCTATTAAGGTTTCTGTTTTCTTGCCCAGCTCCTCAGAAGGGATATATACTGCACACTGTTCCCTACTGTCACCATATTGGATGATCTAGTAGATTGGGTGATTCACAGAGTCCTGACCCAGTAGACTCCCCAGCTCTGATCTTACTGTGAGTTTACTCTAGCCTGGGTGTGATGCTGATGCCAACTCTCTCTTCCCAGGCTGGGGCTGGTGCAGTTAACCCACTCGTATGCAGGCCGGCAGGTCAAGGTCATGTCCCCAGAATGGACTTGCTCTCAGGGTCCTCAGGATAACCTTGATGGGGCAGGTGTTCACTTCTCTTACTGTAGCTCCTGAGCCCCTACCAGTGTGCTTCCATTTACACAAAGTAGACACCGCAGTCCCTTCCTCTTGGTGGAATGTCTGGATAAGAAATGTTAGTTTTCAGGGCTGGTTACCCCGAGTTTGATGGTTGTTGCCTAAGGCACTGCTGCTCCAAATTGCCAAAAACCCCTTTCTCTTGCAGCCTCTGCTCAGCCTGGCAGGACCAAAGCACTCTTTGTCAATGGAGCCTGCTCTTCCCCCACGCTGCTGCCAACCCCAGGCACTTTCTGTCTCCCAGGTATTCCTGACTATAGGTAAGTGGCTGCCAACTCATTTGTTTTAGGCATCCTAAGTTGCTAGGAATTCTCCTAGCCTTGTTCAGTCTTTGTCTTTGTATCCCTAGCATCTAGTATAGCATTTGGCATATAATAAATGTTATTGGTTGATCCTGAATATTCCTAAGAGCCAATTAGCATTTTCAAATATATTCATGAGGATGCAGACAAATTTAGTTTCCCCTTAGATTTAAGATGGATTTCATGGCGCAAAACAGTGGAGAGTGTATTCACTGGTGTCAGATGAGATAGATTCAAGTCCTATCTCTCTTTCTTGCTTTTGTGTCCTGGGGCAACTTAAAATTGACCATTCTGGGATTCCATTTCTTCATCTGAAAATGGTGCTAGGTTCCTTCTACCTCAAAATGCCATAGCCTTGTGATTTCCTTTAATATGTTTGTTGAAAGTTAATGATGCTGATGGTCGTTTTGTTTGCTTGGCCTTCAGCTCTTCGGTGTACCTCTTCCGGCTGATGGCTGTCGTGGTCCATCATGGAGACATGCATTCTGGTCACTTTGTGACTTACCGACGCTCCCCTCCTTCTGCCAAGAACCCTCTGTCTACCAGCAGCCAGTGGCTCTGGATCTCGGATGACACCGTTCGAAAGGCAAGCTTGCAGGAGGTTTTGTCTTCAAGCGCTTATCTGCTCTTTTATGAGCGGGTCCTTTCGAAAGCTCAGCAACACCAAAGCCAGGAGTACAAGTCTGAAGAGTGAAACTGCCCAGAGCCAAGCCTGGCGGAGTGCTCAGAACTGTTCAGAAAAAAACAAAAACAAAAAACACAACCCTAGATTTTTCTGTCTACATTATGAAAATAGCCTGACTACAGTTCTTCGACATTCCGGTGTGGTGGTGATGGCGGTCTCTCTTAGGAGGAGCCGTTGTCCTGATCCATGCCCAAACCAAGCTACTGGAAGCAGGTCTGATCGAGGCGGGCCCTGTGGAGCGTCAGGGGGTTAGAAGGCATCCATTATGTCTACATGATGTCTTCAGCCCCTCTGGCCGCAGGGGATGGAGAGCTCCAGATGCCCAAGGCCACTTTGGATGTGTCAATTGCAAGTTTTAAGAGGAGATTCACTTTGTCTAATTCTTTTAAAAATTCAGGTCAGATTTCTCTATTTAAAAAGCAGGCCTGTAGAAGCTGTGAGTGAGAATTTCCATAGTTATTAAAGGCAGTGATTTAAAAGAAGTGCCTTCCCCTTGTTTAAATGATTACAGTCCAACCAGTCGCTTTTGTGACGGGTCACATCCAAAATCTGTGTAGCTCAGTGAGCCCGAGGTAGACCTTTTGAAACGCTTGACTCCCTCTGTTTTCTTAGTGGAGGAACTGATGGAGCCCCTGCTTTTCTATGTCCTTTTTCTAACAGGTCAGGAGAGGACCTGCTCAAGGCTAACAGCTTTGCCCTTTTAACAAAAAGACGTCCTTGCTGTTTGCACCGTGTGTGTGTGTGTGTCTGTGTGTCTGTGTGTGTGTGGACTGCACGAGGCTGGGTGTGCTTCGTACCTCCTAAGTGTCCATACTCTGGTCTGCTCAGCTCATCCCAGGCCCCGACCTGACATCAGGCATGTGGTTGGGAGAGAGGGGCAGGCCTAGCATGGACCTTAGAAGCTGGGTCACGAGGGAGGTGAATTCAAGCCGGTCTCATCCTGCTACAAAGCAGGGCTTGCCTCTTTTAAAAAGCCGTTCCAGCAGCCATGTAGAACAGCTTCTTTGTCACCCAGCACTCTGTATCACCACACATATGGACACATACGTGCACACACCTATGTCTACAGTCTGAATTCATTCCCCACATGCTCCTATGCACATTGTGTTCATAAGACTATTATAATAGGTATTTATTAGAAACAGTGGAAGAAAGTACCAGATTTAATCATGTTCTCATTGCTTCTTTTCAGAGTTCTTAAGTCCAGGCAACTCTAAGGCTGAAAAACTTGTTGGCTGCCTAAGGCTTGCCTGTGTTTTAGTTAGGGTTTTAAAAAATAGATAAAGCAAGAATTATATCTGCACTAATACTGCAAACTCTCCAGAGATAAGACTTGGGTGCAGATCCATCCAGAAGGCCTCCCAAGTTAAAGGCCAAAACTTGGCTGTTCTACGGCTGGTCCCCATCTGCCCATCTCTCTGCCCAAGAGGGTGCATTTGTGTAAGAATTTCAAAGTGAGGGTTCTTCCTGGGCGTGGCTCAGCAGAGTGTGCTCTGAAGCTGCCCCTGGGCCAGGAATGTGAAGTCTGCTGGGAAAGAACAGCTCACAGGCCTGATTTGGTGCAGTTTTCTGAGGGATCTAGCTGCTAGCTCAACTCATTCCTTCACCAGAGTTGGTTTTGACTATGAAATGAATGGATCTGCTCTGCCCCAGGCTAGGGAAGCAAGGGCTCAGATAGATTTAGGCTGCGTTCTTAAGTTAGCCAAAATGCTGCAGATTCCTCTGGAAAGACACTTCAGAAAGATGTGAACACTGAGGTTTTCACAGAGCATTTCTCTGCAGGTCAGAAGGGAGGCTTAGTACTCGGTGCATAACTGTGAAAGACATTTTCGGAGAGAAAAACCATTAACTGTGTTTTGTAACAGTTGACAATTCTCTAATGTATAAGCAATTATTACATGAAAGCCTGAAGACGGATTTTGAGGTTGGGGTAAATTATTAATCTAGTTCCTCATGACAAAAATTTTAAGTTCGATGAGTAGTTTACAATACAAACCACTGGTTTTGTGGGTCTGCTAAGAGCGTCTGTTTTCGCACCTGCTGTGTGGATTATGGCAATAAAGATTCGTTTTATTAGAAAAGGTAAATTGGCAGTGGTTTTGCAGCTTACCATTTCATTGCAAAGACAAATAAAAGTATGTAAGACAGTCCTTTAATAAATCAACACGTGCTGTTCCATCCTCTTTAAATTTTGCGTTCTGTGTGATTACTGTGCTTTGTTTCACACGCTGTTTACTATCTAAAATGCCACTTAGTCCCTCCTTGACATAGAGCTGTAAGGAAAACGGATTTTTCTGTCACAAAAATGAGGCTTTACGAGAGTTAGGAAAAGCATTTATCTGTTAGAGAGCAGAATGTTCCGAAATGTCAGATTGACCCGTGGAGCCAGAATCCTTTTTCTGATGGGGAGACTGTGATACCAGTGGATGTTGGTTGGGTAGTTCATCATTAGCAAACTCCCATGGGCCAGCTGCATCTTCACCACCTCAACCCGCCGGGACGGCGCTTTCCCTCGGGAATCTCTGTGCCGAAAGAAGAAGTCCCGGCAGGCTCCAAAGGAGACGGATGCGATGGGGCTCCGGGGAGCCAACTCGCTCTCGTCATCCCGGTGCTCACCGATGTGATCACAGCCGTCTTTGTATCTGCGAGGGGAAAACAGTCTGTTGTTCCAATGTTGTCCTAACTCCAGGAAAGCAGGGTCTCATCCTTTCCCGACCACAGATTAGCAGTGAGAGAAAAGTATCCTCTGACTTTGGAGTCGGGACCTGGGTTCCAGGGGCTCTGCTACTTACTACTACCTGGGTGATCTTAGGCAAAGACTTCTGGGCCCCAGGGTTAATCAACTAGGTGACCTCTAAAAGTCCCTTACAGTCTCCCTGTGAAGATTTCAGGTCTTTCTTCAGTTCTGGAAAATAGCTAAGCCTGAAAAACATGTACTTTTCTTTATTCTGCCTAGTGCTGCTAGACCTTGAACTTTGCTATCTCTAGTTCTACTGTCTCCTAAGGCTCAGTTGTTTAGGGCTGGATGGGGGCCTTAGAAATTAGCTAGCCCAACTTTTGTCATCTCATAGATTTAAGAATTTCAAATAAGCTCAGGGAAGCCGAGTAATTTATCCATAGCATCTTATGACATTCACTGATTCTCAGTCAGGTAAATGTTTATTAAGCACTGCTCCAGTACCCTTCCCCCATCTCCAAGGTGCTGGGCTAAGCACTGGAGATACAAGCAAAAGTGAAAGACAGTTCCTGCCCTTTGATCCCAAGCAAACAACTAAGTACAATCAAGATAAAGTCAGGATCACTGGAGATAATCTGTGGAAGGAAAGCACCAGCTTATGAATGGTTTCATCTCCTACTCGGTTTAGCAAATGCAGACACTGTGCCAGGTAGTGCGTTCAAGTGTTCCAGGCCGAGCTACATAAACTAGGAAGGGTCCTGGCATCATCGGTTCTGTCTGCCGGCCTCAAGAGGAGTCAGCTGTAAAGTGTGCCAGTGGCTGATCCTCGGATACTGCATCACAACATCTTAGCCATATTTCTTAAAACAACTGTGCCTGACGTTGCCCTGTATTACCTGTTGACAAGTACAAAATTGAAGGTGTGTCCAGTCACACCAGCCACGCGGTCTCGAATGTGCTCCAGGACTGGGATCCAGGGCTTTGGAGATAAGGTGAGTCCCGAGAAGGTGTAGGTTAACCCTGGGTCCCCGTAAGTGGCTTGCTTCCTTGGGATTCTGTGCCATTTGCCAAACACTCGGACTCTGGAAAGATCGCCTATTGAAATAAATTTTAGCTCACGATTCATTTCTGTGGCTCACCCTGGAATGGATGCGGGCATCACAGATGAGTGTCTGCAGGCAGCAGATATGGCAGTACCTGGGTCTGAGTATGTCAGCATCCCGCTCTGGCTCACCTCAGAATGAACATGTAACTTAGGGAAAAGAAAGCTGAGAATGCCCATTAGAAATAAGATTGTGTCTCCAGGAGGCATGTAAAATGTGCACGCCGCCTACCCAACAGGCCTCCCGACATGCCCCCCTCTTGCCCCTGTGGCCTGGGCTCCACACTCTTCACCTCCACTCCGTGCAGCCCCAAATGTCGATCCTGTTCAAGGCACTGCCCGAATACCCCGAACCATCTCCAAGGCACTTACTTTACCGTGTCTGTTTTGGTTCACATGCAAGGTTGAACAGAACTGAACAGTGAGCCAGAAAATCCAATCCAATTAAATTTCACTTGCTGTAATTAAGCATCTACGATGTGGCTAGGATGGTGCTGCTAGGTCCTTCCTTCAAGGAGCATCCATTCTAGTTTAGAAGAGGAAGCTTTGGACCTGGAGTCAGGAGGAACTGAGCTCAAATCGGCCTCTGAAGCCTCCTAGCTCCCTGGCCAAGCCACTAAACCACCTCAGTTTCCTCAGCTGTCAGATGAGGACAGCAAGAGGACCTACCTCCCAACGTCATGACGAGGATTAAATGAGATGCCGTTTGTGAAGCACGTTCCAACCTGCAAGTGCTGTCGACACACAGGCTGTTACTACTGCATTGATTTGATATCTTCGGTTAAATGTGTGAAGCTGAGCTGAATGAGGAAGAGAGCAGAGCAGGGGAGAAGGGCCTTGAAACTGCAGGAGGGCCGTCCTCCCGACTGCTCCGTGACCTCAGACCTGGGCAGCCGCCCACTGGCCACTCTACAGACGGATCAGGGCTTCGAAGGGAAGCTCATATTCCCTGGTCATTTAATAAGCAGCAAGACTGAAACCTTGAGAAGCCGCCAAAGCTGCCCACCACTGTGCCAACAAAGCAGGATGTGGCGTGTCTGTTCTCACAGCTGAGTTCAAAGGAAACCCCCAGTTACTCTGAAGGGAGCTGTGATTTGTACAGGGTCCCAGCAACTGAAGTCAGGGAGGGAGCTTGAGGGCAAAAAAGGGTAAATCACATGATTCAGAAATAAAGATGAGCCTTTGAGGAATGAGCAAAGAACCTGGGTTTATGTACTCTGAGAGGGAAGACCATAGGGGAACTCTGGAATCACAGATAAATCTGTAAGGGATCCTGGAACAGAACAGGGGATGGCAGAGCTGGGAAAGGCCTTAGAATAGGCATGGCAGAGCTGGGAGGGGCCTTGGAACAGAGGATGGCAGAGCTGGGAGGGAGCTTAGAACCTTCCAGGCCTACTCCCTTTTTTTACCAAGAAGAAAAATTGTGGCAGGAGGAGGGGAGCACTAGCAATTAGATGCGTCAGGAGAGGCCATGCATAGAAGCTGGCTTTAAGGAAGACAGGAACTCTGCCCAGTGATACAGACACTAGGCATACACCACAGAGGGACTGAAGAAAGAGGCAAAGACTTGTATGTACCAAACTATTCATAGCAACACTTCCTGTAGCACAGATCTGGTGTCCGTTCATGGGGAGCGGCTGTGGTGTATGACATAACAAAAAGGACAGTTCACTAGAGAAACGAGAAGACCTATATGAACTGATGCAGGGTGAAGTGAGCAGAACCAGGAGAATAATCTGAACAGTCAATACAACACTACAAAGGAACCAAGATGACTGCTTGTCCTTCGTTCTGGAAGAGGACCATGACATCAGGGAGGTGATGCCATGACATGAAAGTGAATTGGATTTAAGTGAGGGAGGGCTGTGCAAGGTCACCAGCCTCACTGTCTTCTCTGGGTCTAGTGGCCAGATATGGATCAGGACGACTGGAGATGGCCCAGGACGCAGTGGGACCAAAGGAACCCAAGATACGTCACCTAAGAAGGACAAGGACTAGAATCTAGGCCTCCTGACTGGCTGTAAAGTCTTTCCAATATTCTATATGACTGATGGATAAGGACTCAGGATTATTGCTTTTATAAACCTGTGTTCTAATGTCATGAAAAAATATTTTACTTCCTAAAACAGAATAATTTGTATGAACCCACTCTACATTGGGGAAAATAGAAAAAAAATGGCGCTGGGCGAACTTTAAAAAATGATTAAATGGGGATCTCTCCCCAAGGCATCTAGAAATTGTGGGAACTGGCATGCTGTTGGTCTTAAGCAACAGATCTGGCAAGTCTTAAAAAAGAGCAGCTAGCCCACAGGACTTAGCGCTTACCTTCAAAATACTCTACTTCCTTTTCCAACGTCTGGAGAAGCTCATCGGCGGCCTCCCTGCCAAAGAGGACCGTGTAATCACAGTCCAAGTTCTCAGCCCGAATCTTCCTCCAGTGGCAGCCGCCCGCCAGGCCTCTGTCTTTCTCCGCCGTTTCCCTCCTGGGTCTCTTCTTACCTCTTTCTTCTTCTTCTGCCTGGAAGGTGTGTCCTGGTTCCTGCTCTTCTCTAGCTGGTCCTGAAGGACAGCCCGCAGCCTTCTTCACCAGGAATCTGTCCATCTGCTGTTGTCTGGAAGTGAGCAGGGAGTTGGGAGGCCTGATTAAAAAAAGGTGGAGAAACTCCTCAGGTGCCTTCCATGTTGGCAACAACCTACAGGAGGATGAGGACGGGTGAAAGAGACCCGTCAAAAAGTGCCTTAGAACCACGATCTTACAGAGTCCCAGAGTTGCTGGTGGTGGCAGAGAATTGGAAACTTAGGGAGAGAGAGGGCATCGATTGGAGAACGGCTGGACAGATTCTGTACTGGAGTGTTGGAAGGGACCCCAGGGGCCATCCATGTCCCCAAAAAGGATCCCCACTACAGCACACAGGACAAAGGGCCCCTCGTCCAGACCCTGCTGGAAGACCCCACCCCAGGCTGCTGCCCTTCTGGGTCAGTGTCCTCATCAAGTGGTGTGGTGAGGATAAGATGAAATCATATTTGAAAAGCGCTCTGCAAACCTTCGTGCACTATAGAAATACTAGCTAGTGTTACTAGGTATTCTTACTACTTTCCCAGTTCAGCACCCTCGTTCTCTCCCTCTCTGAAAGACGGTTCTCAGTGTCCCTAGTAAGGGTAGAATTCTCCAGAGGTGATACTTAAGATCTCAAAATACCCAAAGCAGAGTTATCGTTTCAACTCTAGGCATTACACTTCATTAGGACATCCACAGAACTTCGTATTCAGATAAGAAACCCTCGACATACCAGAGTTCCTCTCTGTCTAAGGCCCTGAGCATACCTTTAAAACCCAGCTGCACCCCAAATTAGTCCCCACTCCTCAGATACCCCCAATCCTGTCTGCTCCTGCAGGATGCAGCCACTGCTTCCGGGGTCCCGAGCTCAGAGGCCAGCCCGGCCCACGTGGGCTGTTTACATAACAACACTGGTCGATAGCAAAGCTCTCGGGCTCCCCTTGCCTTTACTTGGGGGAAGTGCACTATGGTTCTCTATTATCTAAGTCAGGGATGGGGAACCTGCGGCCTCGAGGCCCCAGGGGGCCACATGGGGCCTCGAGGCCGCAGGTTGCCCCCCGATCTACGTTACTGTGGAGAAAAGTCCTGGAATCGATCTCAAAGCGGGAAGGAAAGCAGGTAGCAAGTGGCCAGGTCTGTTTAGGATGACAGCCTGAGCTGGAAGGGACCCTAGGCCATCTCATCCAATTCCGGTATTACAGCTGAGGTGACCTGCCCATGGTCTCATCGACAGTAAAGGCAAAGTCAGGATTCAAACTCAGATAATACAACTATTGTTGTTATCTATTCGATGAGTTGTGTCTGACTCGCTGTGACCCCATGTGGGGATTTCTTGGTAGAGATGCTGGAGTGATTTGCCATTGCCTTCTCCAGTGAGGAAACTGAGGCAATCAGGGTTAAGTGACTTGCCCAAGGTCACACAGCTAGTAAGTGCAACTCAATTCAGGAAGCACTGAATAGTCTACCAGGTGAACAACTCTGCTGGCTTCCGGGGTCCAAGGAGGTTACCTTTCAGGGGCTGGGGAGAGATACAGCAGCTATCCGCAGATGTATAATTACAGAATAAGGGAAGGGGGTTGGAATCAGGGGAGGAGGCCCCTTCCTGAGCCCTGAGGGGAGAATGGGACCCTAAGGAGGAAGGGATGTGAAAGACCCGGAGGCTGGAGATGAAGTGGACGCAAAGCCTTCAGTCCCCATTCAGGAAGCAGGTGCCACTCACTGGGATACCAAGATGAATGTGGAACAGCCCTTGCCGGGCTTCCACTATTGGAGAAAAACAACCCATTCACAGACCAGCAAATATGAAATAAATATGAGGGAATTTGGTCAATGGCAGGGGAAGGGGATGGTCGAGGTAAGGGAAGCCTAGAGGGTGTGGCCCTTGAGCTAACTCTTGAAGAAAGCTTCCTGTTCTAAGAGGCAGAGGTGAAGAGAGAGGGCACTCCAGGCAGGGGGCACAGCCTGGGCAAAGGCATGGAACCATCCTGGGCAAGAACAGCAAGTCTGGTTGGAATGCGGAGTAGGTTGAGGGAAGGGGAAGCAATGGGACATCCCTCCAGGCTCCATTTTTGTGAGTCTGGTAAAGTCACTGACCCTCTCACAGTCATGCTTTTTATTGCATAAGATAAACATACATAGCATTACAAAGGAAATTAATTAAAGTGAAATATGATTATTAAAGTAGTTTTAAAAAATACAAGTTCATGGATCTCAGGTTAAAAATCCTTGCTCCAGACAGAGAGGCTAGAGTCAGACTGTGAAGAGGGGGGGTTTTCTACTTTCTCCTGGAATAGGGAGGCCCTGAAGTTTCTTGACTTGGGCAGGGGCTCAGAAAGATGGATTCCAGAGGGGAGAGACTTGACTCAGGAAGACCAGACTGAAGGCTAGCCCAAAGCAGAGGGGATGAGGGCCTGGGCAGGCTGGGCTCAGGAGTCGGGGAAAGGGGACAGCCAGGGAGGAGGGGAAGGATTAAAATCATAATAAACTAGCAATCATAAATGCATAGCCCTCCCTCACTCCGCTACTTGAAACCCTTCACTGTGAGCTGTACTGTCTCACCAGGGCAGGAAGAAAGAACAGTTTTGGGGACCCTGAGTCATACCCAGAGCCTCTGGAGGGCACCATCCCTGACCCCTATTCTTCCATCTCTAGCCTAAAGGCCCCAGGGCCTGAGACCTGTTTTCATCTGCTCCCTCCCCGGGATTCTTTGCCATGCGTCTCTTTACTGCCCTGGGTCCCCTGGGGTTTTCACTGGAGACCTTGTGTCTTCCCCAGGCATGCATAAAAATGGCAAGGTGAAAGCCTTCTGCTTTCCATGGTACTGGTCTATGTGGGGCAAGGCATCACCCTGGCTGGGATCCTTACCATCTCTTACTTTGTACCACTGCTACAGACTCCTAGTGGGTTTCCCGGCCTCAAGTCTCTGCCATTGACTTCCCAGCGTGACTTTTGGCACAGATGGCCCTGGAACGGGGGAAGGAGCAAAGGTATTCCCCAGTGATAGTCTATGGCCAAGGAATCCCACTGCATCTGAGGCCATCTCCAGTCGTCCTGATCTATATATGGCCACTGGACCCAGATGGCCCTGGAGGAGAGACTGAGGCTGGTGACCCTGCATAGCCCTCCCTCACTTAAGTCCAATCTGCAAGTCACGGCCGGTCCTCTTTGAGAACAAAGGACAAACAACAATCCTATGGCTATGAATCATGGAACACTATGGTCCCAAGTGCAGGTGGCTCCAAGGCAACCATGGGGGTAAGGAGGCCATAGTGGTCAGACAACCAACGATTACTAATGCCACCTGAGGAATGACAGACAAGCTACCATCAAGGCCATATATGTGGACATGTCATCTGTATGTGAGCCAGAGACAAAGGCAGACAGTCAGGGTGCGGAAGGGGGTGTCACCGAATATCAGAGGAGGCCCTGCTGGGTCAGGAAGATGACTACAGGGCACACAAGGAGGGGAGGCCCAGACATCGAAGGCATCTCAAATCCTTCAAATCAGTAATCAGGTAACACTGGTAATCCCGGTAACGCTGAGAGTCAACAGCAGTGCCAGGCACCTGGCTGAGTCCCGGGCCTGCAAAGACAGTCCAAGGACAGGCTTTCCTCTCCAGGAGCTCAGCTGACTAACCGGCAAATAACCAGTACAAACATGATAAAGACAGGATAAAGAGGAGATGGTCCACAGAGGGCAGGCACAAAGATGGAGCATTGGGAAAGGCTTCCTGTAGAAGGTGGCAGAGAATTCCAGGCACGGGGGACAGTGAGAGCCAAAGCTCCCTGTGTGGAAAAGGCAGCCAGGCTGGTGTCACTGGACTGCAGAGAAAGAAGCCTGGAAAGGGGGGTGAACCAGGTTGTGAAGGGCTTTAAAAGCCAAAGGATTTTCTATTTGATCCTGGAGATAAAACGGAAGCAGTCCAATTTATTGAACAGAAGATCGATATGGTTCAGACCCGGCAGCTAAGTGTCAAGTGGATGGAGCCCCGGGGCCTGAGGTCAGAAAGATCTTAGTTCAAATTTGATTTCTGACACTTCCCAGCTGGGTGACCCTGGGTGAGTCATTTCACCTTGTTTGCCTCGGTTTCCTCACCTGTAAAATAAGCTGGAGAAGGAAATGGCAAACCACCCCAGTCTCTTTGCCAAGAATACCCCAAATGGGGTCACAAAGAATCGGACTGATGAGGTCGAGAGGTTTAGGGGTGCTGGAACCCCAAAATCACAACACCCAGGTCCTGCTGGAAAGAATTCGACCCAAGCCTTTCAGCCAAAGATAAGGTTTATCCAAGATCCACCATATTGGCCAGACTCTTAAGGAATCTGAACATTAAGTGAGCTATTGGCTAGATTGTAAGAATCTGAGCACCTTAATGGAGACAAGATGGACCCTACACACAGAAAGTCTATGGGGGGGATCAGGAGTGGCCAAGTAGTCTGGGGTGACTGAAGGAGGGATCTCTGGAAGATCTGGATAGGAGTGGGAACTGAACAATGACTTGGCCCTGGGAGAATGGAGATTAATGGCAGGAAGTGGCGGGGGGGGGGGGGGGGGGCATAGGGGGGGAAGACAATGGACGGGAGATTGGGTGTAGCCTCAAAGAAAGGCCAGTTGATGGGATTATAGCCTCAGGTGAACGCCAGAGATTTGGCCACGTAGGAAAGTCCAGGGTTTTTCCTTTCTGGGGCTCAGATCCCAATTCCATCATTCTGACCCTGACATCGCCTCTGGGCACCCACCCCTAGGAGGTCAAGGACAGAGGGAAAGCCCCCAGCTCCCAAAATACTAACAGTAGCAAAGACCTGGAAAGAAAGGGGGGGGATCCGATCCACTGGAATGAATGGTGCTGTGGGAAAGTTGAGGGCAGATGCAGAGAAACCTGGGAAGACTCGTAGGAACAATTTTCCACTGTGGAAACAAGGTAAAGGAAGTCAGGACTGCAAATCTTCAGAATTCTGATTGCTATAGGGGCCAGCCAAGACTTCTGGAGGACCAAGCATGAAGTCAAGCGTGGAAACACATTTTAAGCCTTTTTTAGTAAAACTGAAAATTCATAATGTGGTTCTCTCCAGGCCAGACTTGTGGGAAATTTGCCTCTCTGAGAGGCGGGGCAGGAACAAAGTAGCAAACTCGAAAAGCTACTCTTGAGAGGATGAAAGCCCTCCGGGGAAATGGAAAAGAATTCACTTCCAATTCATTTAGATTCTCTAGGTCTGTGGGAGGAGCCCCAGGCATTCCTGGGGAGTGTTCCCAAAAATCCCATCACCCCCAGGCTAACCTATAGAAGAATCTTCCTGCATTTAATTAGGCTGCAGCTCGGACTACAGACCAATAGAACAAAACCAGGCCCTACCTCAAGAGACAAAAGAGCATTCTCTGGCCCTGGGGAGGATAATTCATTAACCCTGCAGCCCTCCGGACAATAGGGGAAGAAGGAAGCAATTCTCAATCTGTCTCCTCTTGGTTCAGGGAGGGTCATGGGAAGAACGATGTCTCTCACAAGGAAGTTCAGCTGTACCTTGGGACCCTTACGCTACTGACCCTCCTATGCGAGCTAGGAGCAAGAAGGAACCTTACAACAGAGAACTCCCGAGCTGAGATGTTAGAACAATGACTGTCACAGCGGGAAGGAACCTTAGAATCCCGATGTCAGGGAATCCTTCGTGTCAGACCTTAAAATAGGAGATTTAGAGCTAGAAGGAACATTAGAGCTTAACCCTGGGAAATCGCACTTGGTCAGAGAGAACCATTAGAGTGTAAGCTCCTTGAGGGCAGGGACTCCCTTTTTTTGTCCCCCCCGGCTTAGCACAGTGCCTGGCACACAGTAGGTACTTAATAAATGGTAACTGATTCCTCAACCTTAATTCCAATGCGCTCCCTCGGTTAATTCTTTTTCATCCTGTATATGGCTTGCTTCGTATACATTTGTTTGCATGTTGTCTCCCCATTAGCCTGTAAGCTCCCTGAGGGCAGGGGCTGTGGTCTCTCTTTGCATCCCCAGCGCTTAGCACAGTGCCTGGCACTCAGTAGGCGCTTAATGAATATTAAGCTGGGTTCAAAACCAGCCTGCTACCTGTTTGGCTTTAGCAAGTCATTAAACTTCCTCAGTTTCCCTATCTGTAAAAAATCAAGGAGCTGATTAGATAATCCCGGGGGTCCCTTCTAGGTCTACAGCTGGGGTCCTCGGGGCTCATTTTACAGCGGGGGAAACTGAGGCCCAGAGGTCACCCATATGGTTGGGCGTCGCAGGCGGGGCTCTTCCCTCACCCCAGGGGCTCCAACCCCTACCCCCTCAGGCCCACCTGTTCTTGGAGATCCCTCCCCGGCCAGCGCCAGTCACGTGAGGCTCGCTAGCAATGCCTTGTGCGCACGCTCCAGAGACCACCGGACACCTCCTCCCTCCCCCAACAAAAAAGGTAAAGCGTCCTACGCATGCGCTTCTCAGCCCACCCTACAAAGGCAACCCGGCGCATGCGTGAGACGCTTGGCGCCAAGAAGAGCTAGTCAGTCGGGGGGTCAGGGGGTGGAGTGCCGGGGCTGCGTTCACTGCTACTGTTGTTGCTGCCGCTTCGTCCGCCGGCATGATCGGCCAGAAGACCCTCCACTCCTTCTTCTCCCCGAGCGCCCCCAAGAAGCGGCGCTCGTGCACCGAGACACCAGCGGACCCCGGCACGGAGGCGGTGGTGCAGAGCGAGGATGCCTCGGTGAGGAAGGAGGGTTACCGGAGGGGGTCGCGCGAGGGCGTGCGGCCCGAGGGTGGGGAGAGGGGATTCTCACTAAGGGACCGGCCCGGAGGGAGCGAGCGCGCGCGCCGGACCCAGAGACATAACCCGCGGTCCGCGGACCTTAATTTTGGCGCGCGGCTCCGCGGGCAGCCAATGGGAGGGAGGCTAGGCGGTGGCGAGCCAATCGGAGCTCCGCCCGCCGCCGCATGGCCGGGCTCGGCCTCCAATCCGGAGGGGAAGGGGTGGGGCTCGCGCGCTTCTTGTCCTGTTTTTGCCGCGAAACGGCCACGTGGGGGGAGGTGTGTACGTCTGGGTCCCGCCACGTGGGTGGAGCCAGGCGGGCGCATGCGCGCTTCGGCCGCTGGCTCTCGGGGAATACCTTAACCCATCCCTGGGAAGCTCCTCCATCCACGCTCCCACGTTTCTGTGCTCGCGTCTCCGCGGTGGGGAGGGGGCTTCAGCCGGCCCCACCCCAGGCAGGCCTCTCTCTTGCCTGCTGGTCTGGGTGGCTCCGCGCCGACCTGAGAGCGCCTGAGGGGGTGAGGGCGGGGCAATGGGAATCCTTCCACCACCCATCGTGGGGTCGGGCAGGTTAGGCCTCTGTCTGCGCCCATCGCTTTCGGGGCTCTTTCCCCGCCTCATCACCCGCCTTTTTGGGGACGTCCCGCAGGTCAGCCCGGTCAGGAAGAGGCGGCCCGAAGATGAGCCCCGCGCCCCCTCGTCTCCCCTGAGCCCCGAGCAGTTGGACCGGATCCAGAGGAACAAGGCAGCGGCCCTGCTCAGGCTCGCCTCCCGCAACGTCCCCGCGGGCTTCGGGGAGAGCTGGAAGCGGCAGCTTAGCGCAGAATTCGGCAAACCATATTTCATCCAGGTAATGGACGTGGGGGCCCCGCCTGCGGAGACTGGGGCTGGCGCTTTGTTGTGAACTTCAGCCCTCCCTCAGCCCTTTCACCCCGGTAGATTGTGAGCCCCTGGAGGGCAGGGACTGGCTTTGGCCTCTCTTTGTGTCCCCAGCGCTTAGAGCAGTGCCTTGCACTTAATGGGAGCTCATTAAATACGCATTAAGCTGTACCCTGTAGGAAGATGCCATTGCATTTTTACCGTACTTTTATAATTTTTCCTCGAAACTTTTGCATAATTTACTTTGGAAACTTAATTCCTTAAGAGACAAAGAATTAAAGCTAAACCTGTTGGAAAGACTGGAAGCAGCAGCGGGTCCTAGGAAAAGGGATTGTCCAGGTCAACTGTCAAAATGCTTAATTAACAGCCATTTCATCTGGTTGATAAATTATGACCCACTGCTTTGAAATGGAACCCTGCAGTTTGAATAAGTCAAGTTTTTGCTAAATTATGAGGATTTGCAAATAATCCAGGTTATAGTGGAATTTTTAAAATTGTGCTCACAAAACTGCTTTAAAAGATAATCGTCTTTGAAGTTGGAGGATTATTTCATTCATAGTCGGCGAGAATGTTCTTAACCAAACTTGATTTTTCTTTTTCTTTTTTTTTTTCCTCTATTTTTAAACAACTCAAAATCAGCTAATGGGATTTGTTGCGGAAGAACGAAAACGCCATACTGTCTACCCACCACCAGACCAAGTCTTCACCTGGACACAGCTGTGTGAAATCAGAGACGTAAGTAGAAGGCTGATCATTGAATGAGATTAAAGGGGGCAGGGGGAGTGGATAGAGAGCAGGCTTTGAATTCCCACCTCATCTCTGACTCATAGAATCTAGTTTTATTCAAAATTCAGCTTAGGCTCCTCCAGGAGGTGAGACTCCTTTTTTTTTTTTTTTTTTTTTAAATTTTTTATTTATTTTTGGTGAGGCAATGGGGGTTAAGTGACTTGCCCAGGGTCACACAGCTAGTAAATGTCAAGTGTCTGAGGGCAGATTTGAGCTCAGGTCCCCCTGACTCCAAGGCTGACTCAGTACTGGTTAGCTTATATGGGATTTAGGCTGCTGTACTTTGATGGGCTTGTTTCAGGTGTTCGTAACCAATGGCCTGTTTTATAGACAACGTGCAGCAGGTCTCACCTGTGCCTTCCCTCCTCACCATGAAGCTGATTGCACAAGGATTGACATATATAGCATTCTGCCTAGTCATTAACTCTTTATAGTCTTGGAGATTTTGGTGAGATTTGGTTGGGTTTTCTGGTCATACATCTGAGTGCAGCTGGGGCTCCCCAGATATTTGTTTGTGGGGTATTGGAAATAAATTGCTTAAAGCCTCTAATGTGTAGGAGCAAAAAGTAACTCTTGATCCTCAGTACTGGTTAGACTGACTTTTTACTTTTACTAGAACCACAGGGACTTCAGTTAGAAGGATGAATTAACTGGTGGTTGTTGAAATGATCTTTGGAGATGATTTATGCTTGGTTCTGCATTAGGAGAAACTAGGTTTTTGATGAATGTAACAGCTATGTGGTTTTTCCCTTTGTGGTTCATTTCACTCCTTTTTGTTTGAATTGCTCAGCAAGGTGTCATCTATCAAAACCTGAAAAGGTGGTGCATCTTTGTAAACTTATGTTTTTGTGGAGGCAGAAAACTGCCATTATCTGTCTTAAAGGAAGGGCCTCCTGCACCGAGAGACCCTTTTCCTTGCGCTTTGTGAGGGGCACAAAGGGTTCACATCCCCCAAATCAAAAGGCATGCAGTGACTAAAATTTGTTAAGAAATCTTTGGATTTGGGTAACTTCTTCTGCCTGCCATGACCTTTCCCTTGGGAACCTTTTGCCCATCCGTATCATAAAATGCATGTTGTATGGGCACTGGGCTCCTTTTATTTCAAATAATTTTCTATCTTCTCCAAACTGATGCTTTCTCAAGTTTCAGGAAGGAAAAATCAGGCAGGAGGGGTTGTTTGGGACCAATGAATTGTATGCCTCTTTCCAAATTTTAATCAGTAGATTGTGCTACTTTACATGTTAGACGTGTGTATACATGCTTCCCCCTGTATATACGTTGAAGTTCCTGGCTCGTTCCAATGGTACTTATGCTGGGCTTCCAAAGGAGGGGAAGCGCATTTGCAGGAAGGCAATTCTGGGTCAGTCATTTCCAGGGTGCTTTGAATTGGAGAAACAAAGGGGAATTTTTTGGGGGAAGGAAGAAGTTGCACCAAGGAATTTTGCAGATATCTGTAATTAAAGTTGGATGATACCTTGAAAGTCACCTCATCTATGCATTATTTCTACAGAAAAAAAAAATCACATCTGTCATTTATTAATTTCTGGCACACTTGGGCATGCACAGGTCAAAGTTGTCATCTTGGGGCAGGACCCATATCACGGACCCAATCAAGCTCACGGACTCTGCTTCAGCGTCCAGAGGCCTGTCCCACCCCCTCCCAGGTACTATTCATTATGACTGCTTTCAGACCTATATTTTATAAGTTACTAGCCATACCGTCAGGAGGCTTCATTATAGAATCAAAGGGAAACAGAAAAGGAGTCACGGACAGGCACTTGTTGGTGCCTCGCTGTGTTTCTGCTAGCCATCAAAAGATGATGTGTTTGTAAGGTTCTGTAAGATGATGTCTAACGCCCGTGTGCAAGTGGGCACCAGTATAGAAGGGGGGAAGTATATGAGGCTTCCATAGGAGGAGGCGACAGTCCCAGTGGCTGGCTCAGATGGCCGAGGCTTCTGCACCAACGTCTGGAAAGGTGTTTGTTTCTGAGTGGCCTCTTTTAGGGAAGGTCCCTCCAGAGCCATGACTGAGGGGGCTGTGCCACGCCAATATCCTGTAATAGCTGGGGATATTTATTGGAGAAGACCCAGAGATTCTTCTTGGTGGGGACCAGGAGCTGAAAGGAGAGCTGGCCATCTTGTAGAAGTTTGAAGCCACAGATTTAGGCTGAATGTAAAGGAAAGCGTGCTCATCAGGGTTCTCAGCGGACGGATTTCCTCTTGTGGCAGTGTCCTTGGGGGCCTTTAGCCAAGGACGACTGATAGAGCTCATCCCAGCAGGGCACGCATTGACTTAGAAAACCACAAATGAACATTATGTTGTATCTTTTCATTCTGTTAAACATTTCGCGGTTGGAGCCGAACGGTGGCAGGAGCCGTTGGTGGAGTTTTGGGTGCAGTAAATGCCCTCTGAGGTCCCTTCTCAAGCTGAAATTTGTGGGATAATGAGGACTGGTAGTTGGATTGTTACTAACAAGTGGGCAGAGGCAGTCTTGGGAAAGGTTGGTGAGAGCTAGGTGGAGTTAGAAGGGAGCTCCCACGGACCTCTCCTCCTCCGACCCTCCTGTATTTTACAGACAGAAACTGAGGGTTTACATCCAGTCACGCCCCAAACCTCTGGCTGGGTCTGAACCCTATCCTTGTCCTCCCAGGGCCAGAGTTCTTTCCTCTGTTACCGTGTGCCATGAGTGTCGGGCTATGAAAAATCTGTCCCGTGGAACATGGTGGCTCACCTGATTTCCCAACTCAGTGGGGTTTTATTTGTCTGTCATGCTGCAGCAGACCCAGGAGGAGAACACGAAGGAGAACATGCCATTGCTCTCCTTCTCAGGCGGGGCTGAATGATGAAATACACCGCCAACATTTAAATGTTTCCTCATCAGGCCTCTGGCCTCGCTGAGGGAGGGGTCATAGACTGGGAGCTGGAAGGGGACTCCCATTGAACCGGTGAGGATGGTTGAGTCCCAGAAGTGACCGGGCCCAACCCCCGTCATCCAGGTGGCGAAGGGTGTGTCTGTGGTTGTCTCCCCTGTCATCTTTTTAGATGTCATTTATTGGAGGTATTCAAAACTTTACAGATGCTAACACATTTTATATTTATCTTGCTTTCAGCTTGGAAAATATTTATAAAGAGCTGTCCACAGACATAGAGGGCTTTGCCCCACCGGGTCACGGAGATCTGTCTGGATGGGCCAGACAGGGTAAGCAGTTGTCTTAAGGGCCCGTTACTTAGGGAGGGGGTATTCAGGGCCTCTCTCTTCCTCGTTCCTCTTCCCCGTCTCCCTCCTGCCTCACTTTCTCCCCTTCCCCTTTCACTGCCCAGGTTCTGGCACTAGGGATTCCATGCCTGAAACAAAGACTGGCCGTGGATGGGCCTGGGGGTTGAAGGCAGCTCGGGGCTGCTGCTGATGGTTTTTTCTGGTGCTTGGGCACAGGTGTTCTCCTCCTCAATGCCGTGCTCACCGTCCGAGCCCACCAGGCCAACTCCCATAAGGAGAGAGGCTGGGAGCAGTTCACTGATGCCGTGGTGTCTTGGCTGAATGAGAACCTGGATGGCCTCGTCTTCATGCTCTGGGGGTCTTATGCTCAGAAGAAAGGCCTCTCTATCAACAGGGTAAGCCACGCTCTGCTTCTGTCTGTCTCATGCCAGTGGGAGAAGGCCGGGACACTTTAAGCACCGTCCGGAGGCTGTGTCCACTTCTCCATTACAGTAGTTAGAGTTTGGGGCCTTCCTTGGTAAGGCTCCCCACCAGTCCATTAGAGGAGCGAAGGTGCCAGGCGGGGTTTGCCTAGGAAGTGAGCATCTGCATCCCCTCCCCCAGGATCCCAGAATCTGCAGACTTTTTCTTGGGCAGACACTTTGTCACTTGTTCCATCTTAAACCTGTAAATTGAGTCCAGGCCTTGGCTCCTTTTGGAGATTTTGGACCTCTTGTTTAGCTGCCATGTTCTCATTTTCTAAATGGATTTTAAAAGATTTCCTTAAATTTAGATAATCCCTCAGCTCTTTTCCAAAGAGAATAATTTGGTGGTGATGTCAAGTATTTTATCACCCTAAAGATTTTAGAAATGAAAACTTTACGGGTGATTTTGAGCTGGACAGGATCTTCCAATCTCCTTAGTTTCCAGTCAGGAGTATAAAGGTTCTCTTAAGCATTATATTCTCCGTAAATGTGCTTGTTCACTTTTACTCCCTTTGGATAACAGAAATCTTAAGGCTCGAAATTAAACTCTTGGGCACTATTTGTTTAGCTCGATACCAATCAGATCTTAGCAGCCAGTTGATTCATGTTTTTATTTCTCATTTCATTCCATAAAAAGAATGGCAAGGTACTTAATTGCTACCAGATCAAAAGACCTGGAAGGGACCCCAGAGATTTTATAGTGCATCCAAAAAAAGAAAAAAATATTTCAAAATTTCCATTTAATAGGTGAAAAAAAGAGCAGGTCGTAGGCCCAGAGCCTGGGCTGGGACTGCACTCCTAGCTCTCATTAAGTATGTTCAGAAATCCGGGATCTGTAGTCTGTGTTCCTGCCTCTGGACTCATCTTTCTGCTCATTCAACATCTTGAGAGCAGAGACTGTTGACAACTTTTTGGCATTTTCTGGCTATTAGGTGTCACCCTTGGGTTTCCTCTCAAGCCTCTCTCCCTTAGCGTTCTGGTCTCATAAATGTTAAAAGGTTCTATTCACAGCTACTGGGATGGGTTTGGAGAAAATCTATCCTTTTTTTTGTTATCAAATGAAGGGGTTGGAGGAAATGATCCTTCCCTTCTAGCTTCAGAACCTGACTCACAGCATTCCTCTTACGGAAGGGAGTTCTTCACGAAATCTAGCTCTCTGTGGCCAAGCCATTTAATGTTCTTCCAGCCTCAGTGTCCTCTGTTGTGTGTGTGAGAGAGAGAGACCTGCCCATTCTGTTTCATTAGGATCGTGCAAGCTGCTCTAGAGTATTGAAAACTAGAGCAGTAACCATGTTTGGCTGGCAGTTTCGGGCTGTTTCCTTTCCCTGGCCCTCAGGGGAACCTCCATGGTCTTCAAGGTCTATTTGCCCTGGTTTAGACTGACCAGTCGTGGCTGGCAGGGTGGGCCCTGGTCCCGGGTTCAGGAACACAGGCAGAGTCTCACGCTCTGCTTCATCTCCTACAGAAGCGCCACCACGTCCTGCAGACTGCCCACCCCTCTCCGCTCTCGGTCCACAGAGGCTTCCTCGGATGCAGGCATTTCTCCAAGACCAACGAGTTGCTAAAGAAGTCTGGCAAGAAACCTATTGATTGGAAAGCGCTTTGAAGCTGTTGGAGCTGAGCAGGACCCGAGGATTCTGTTCATCTTGGCTAGGACAAGCTCTTTGTTGGGGACCAGGGGTGGGGGGTTTGTAATCAGAAGTCAAAGTCTGAGGAGGCAGGTGCCTAGGCGAAATGAGGGTTAACGAAAAATTAATGCACCTTTTTTTCTGCTTGGCCAGAAAGTTGATTTGCATTTGGTATCTCGCCCTGTGCAGGTAGTGTGCTTGGTTAGCTTTGGGTCATCAGAGTATGGCTTGTCATTTTATTAAGATGCTTTTAATTCATTGTGACTAGAAAGGAAAACATTATTTTGCAACACCAAAACTTTTCTTTTAAGCCCCGGAGGAGTCTGCAAAAGGGAAATTGCATCTGGATGCTGAAGGGATTAGGAGAGAGAACTGGACTCCTAATTCCAGGGGGTTTTTTAGCTCCCTGGTGGGTAGGGAATTGGAAGGTAAAGAGGGAGGAGTCCCCTGCTCATCGAAAGGTGGGCAGTATGCTGTTACCTTTGCAGGGATCATTCACAGAGTTCTGTGGTGGGAGAAGATAAGGGGTTCCCGTTTGGGGGTGTTTTTTTGTTCTTTTAACCGAGATTCAGAATTTGAGATGTTTGCTGTTGATCATTTCAAAATGTCTGCCACAGGTCTGTAAAGGAGAAAAATTATTTTCTTCGTTCCCCCCCCCCCCCAGTTCTGTTTCCCATTGAGATGACAGAATCCATCAGTGGCCAAGTTCTTGGGGAGCCCTAGAATGCAAACTGATCTTTCTCTTTAAAAGTAACCAACATTATCGTGCCTTAGCATTCTGGGAGCCAAGCCTTGGCTGGAAATTTCACTGTGATCTAATGCTTGTCTGTCATTTTCAGGGTTAGAGGTTAGGAATTTGAGGATCTGGAAGAGGGTGGTAGATTTTTTTCTTTCATGGAAAAAATTCCTTTATTATAAGCTTGTCTCATAGTTGGGACTTTGCAAAGCAATGCTGATTATATGAAACAAGGTTTAATTTTTATGGATTGTAAAGTCAGTTTTACGTTTTTTGTAACATGAAAGGTTTTGCTGTACTTTGTTTTTATCACACAAGCAGACTTTTTTTTTTTTTAGTTTATTTTTGTTGGGTGTGTGTGTATTTGTATAAATCATCTATATTAATGGGATATCTTGTTAAGGCCAGCCCTGGCTTAGGCTGCTGCTGTTGTCTGATTTTGATAATAAAAGATGATTTAATTCCTTGGGTTGCTGAGGCCATGCTGTTTGCCACAAGGACAGTGCTTCAGGCCAAAGTACCTTGACTGTCTTCTGTGGGACTCAACACCCTGTTTATTAAATGCCTAAGATGTATCCCCCCCCAAAGACCTGAGGTTTACCGTCTGGAGGTGAAGTCTTCCAGGAAGGGAAGATCCAGCTAGTACACACCTACCAGATTGGTAGAACGTGACAGCCTCAGGCTTGCAAAGGGTATCGGGCCCTGTTACTGATAAAAGCATCCCTGAGGGAGTGAGTGGGGAGGCCGGCTTGATGCGGGCGGGGCCTACGCTAGAGAGAAGACCGCAGGCATTTAGCACTTTAGTAGGAGGCCGCACACTGCCGGGAGCTGGGGATGCAATGTAAGCCAAAGAGATGGGCCCCAAATACTCTGTGGGAACTTAGGTTCTAACGGGGCAGACACAGCCAAGGCGGGGAGGAAGGAGGCACCAGTTTGCAGTACCAAGCTAGTAGTAGAGCCTGGGGGCTCGGGAGGCTGCTGGACTGGTGCCACTAGGTAAAGGAACCACCGGCTCCCGAGGGATGCCCTTTCGCTGGGGAGCCCGGGACAAGCTTCATGCACCAGCTGAGCCCATAGGACCTTGGCATAAGGTGGGGATTTGGGGGGTGCGGGGTAGAGATGCCGCAGTGAAGGTAGAGACTGAGGGTCTGTCCGCGGGGAACCCCCAGCACCAGCCAGAAGAGGTTCTGATTTATCGTGGTGGGCAGCATGCCCGAACAGGACTGGCCTAAGTGAGGGAGGGAGGGATGACCCGAGGGGCTTAGCCAGAGTGACCATACGTGATTTGGGGGAGGAGATGCCCTCACCGGAAGTCGGCCGTTTTGTTTGCGGGGTGCAGGCAGCTCTCCTTGCCCCGACCAGCTACGATCCATCGCCCTCCGGGAGGGATTGATTCCGCCACCAGAGCAGCCCCCCTCTATCCCTGGACCCCTTCGGATTCTCTCCAACTGCTCCAGGGGGTGCTGGCCAGCTGGCTTCCCCCTTTAGATTGTTTGGGCAGCCTCCGTTCATTGGATCCTCAGCTCTTAGCGCAGTGCCTCGCACCGTTGAATGGGATTGGATTTCTTCAGACCCTCCGCCCCTCGGCAGATGCCTGGGTCAGGGCTAGACCTCGGTGCCGGACTGACAGGAAAGGGAGGGTGGAGGATCTGGGTTTGTCCCTGGGCACTAGGGAGCCAGCGAAGGGTTGGGAGGGAGAGCGGTGCCTTCGGAGAGCCCCGGAGTGGGGGCGGGGGCGCGGGCGCCATGGCAACCATTGTAGGCAGCGAAGCCGGAAGGGCCGGTCTCGCCCGGGGCGTCCTCGTCTCTTCCTCCTTCCTCCCCGCCCTCTCCTCACCCCTTTCCTCCCCCCCTCCCCATGGGGAGCAGCCCCTCCTCCGCCATGCCTCGGTAAGCCAGGGTGGGGGCAGTCCCGGGGGGTGCGGGGCGGGAGAGGGTCTTGCGGCCCCTAGCCGGACCTTCCTCTCGAGCCTGGCGCTCACGCACCCTCAGTTTCTCCACCTGTAAATAGCCCAGTACCCTCAAGCCGTCAGAGCAATGGGTTTGCAGTCTTAAGACCCTGCCCCGCTCCCAGCACTTCGGTGACTTTGGGGGAGCTAACGCAGTATCCCCCCACCCCCATTCCTCGGGAACACTGGAGAGGGGAAGGGGTTCAGTCCCGAGCCCACCCGAGGTCATTGCTCCCTGCTGGGGAGAGAGAGACGGCTCCACCCCCCACCCCCGGCTGGGCTGGAGCGTCTCGGAGCGTAAGGGGCGGGAGGGCCGGCACTGACCCAGGGCACTGAATGCTGGGGCCCAGGAGCCTCGAGGTAGGAACCTCGCTGAGCCAGACAGACGGGACCTCAGGCGTCTTCCTCATAGCTAAGTAGGATTGCTAACGTTGATATATCACCTACTGTGTGCCCGGCACTGTGCTAAGCGCTGTACAATGATCTCATGATCCTCTCAGCCAGCCTTCGAGGGTAGCGCTGATCCCCATTTTACGGAGGAGGAAACTGAGGCAGGCCAGGTGAAGTGACTTGCCCAGGGTCACACAGCTAGGAAGTGTCAGAGGCCAGATTTGAACCCGGGGTCTTCCAGACTCCGGGTCTGGCGCTCTAGCCACTGCCCCACCTCCTTATTTTAAGGCAAAGCCAGGGAGGCTGGTGGTGTGGGAGTCAGGGGACAGCCTCCATCTGCCACTTGTGCCTAAGGGCTTTGAGGAAGTCACTTAACCTTCCTGGGTCCCAATCACCTCATCTAGAAGATGAGGCACTCTTCCGATTCTAAGGCTGCGATACCTTCATCCTAAGCAATCCCGAAGGTCAGAGCAAATTAGCTTCCCAGGAGCAGGCACTATCCCAAACGTGCCTCAGCACCTGACATACAGTAAGCGTTTAATGAATGCTTGTTGACTGGTGGAGCCAGCACCTGAACCAGGAAACTCTAACCCTAACCTACATGCACCCCAGCTCTAATGGATAATTCATTCTGGGGAGCCTAGTGCTTAATTCAGCAAACGTTAAGACAGCTGGCTGGCTGAAATGTGGAGGCAGAGAGCTCCAGGCAGCGCAAGAAGCATTTATTAAGTTCCTATAGTGTGCTAAGTGTTTGGAATACAAAAAAAAAAAATGTAAACACACCACCAGAAGCCCAGCAGCTGCTCTCCAGGGGCCAGCTCACAGCAAAAGAAGAGGTATAGTATGCTAAAGAAGCTGGAGATAATCTCTGGGGGAGGGCAGGAACATTAAGGGCGACTGGGAAAAAACTTCTTGGAGAAGGTGGGATTTAGCTGAGACTGACTTCCCCAGGGTAACCCAGCTAGTAAGTGTCAGAGGCCAGATTTGAACTCAGGTCTTCCTGACTCCAGGACCTGTCTCTATCCACTGCACTACTTATCTACCCTGACATATCCAACAGGATATTTGATACTGGACATCAGAAGTTAGGGATGGACAATAGATCTGAGAATCCTGTGCATCGGGGTGTTAATGAAATCCATGGGAATGAAATCATCACATGAAATAGCTTATAAGGAGAAGAGAAAAGGACCCTAGCTCAAGCCTTAGGAAACACCCTCAGTTAAGGCATGTGACCTCAATAAAGCTACACGGAGGAAAAGGCAAAGTCTGACAGGGTAAAGAGAACCAGGAGAAGCAGGGGATTGACGGCATCAAAGACTGTTGATAGGTCAAGGATGAGGATGGAGAAGAAGCCATTTGTTTTGTCAGTGACAGAATGCTTAGTCGCTTTGGACAGATCGATTCCAGGTGAATGATGAGGTTGGACAATGGTCTGCGGGCAGGCAGAGAGAAGAAAGGACTGTGGGTACAGAAGGGTTTGTCTTGTCCTGGAAGAGAAGGGCCACCTCTTCTACAGGAGCCGGAGGGAAGGGAAGGGAAGGTCCTCAGCCAAGAAGGTCAGGAAAGAGAGCGAGCCCATGGAAGGTTTGAGGAGGGTGGACAGTTTAGAAGGGCCTCTGTGGATGAGCCAGTCAAGTATGCCTTGCTGGAGTAAGGACCCACTTGGGATTCTTTGCGATCCCTAGCTTCTTCAGGGGTACCTGGGTAGGGGTGAAAGCGTGAAAGCTGGGGTGACCCAAGGTTGAAGCACGGTAGGACAAAGTCTTCCACAGGACACAAGAGATGCTAGGAGTTGGTTCACTAAGGAGTCAAGAGAAGGAAGGAGGAGAGTGCAGTAAATGAGGACTGGAGGTCACAGCCAAGATGAGGAACAGGTTTTGGGGTTATAAGGTTGATTGACATGAGATTAGGATCAGATTAAGGAATTGCAGGGTTCATGTGCGTGGACTGGAGTGGCCTGTGGGACCTTTGGCAAATCTGCTAACTTCTGTGGACTTTGGTTTCCTCAGGTGTGAAATGAGGTGCTTGATCTAGGGGAGGGGAGGGAAGGAGGGCAATGAGTAAATGAATGTAGGTAGAAGAGGCGTTGGTGTGGTAGAAGGAACACTTGGCTTGGTGTCAGATTTTTGTTTTTGAGTCATTTCAGTCATGCCCCACTCTTCTGGACTCCATTTGGGGTTTTCTTGACAAAGATACTGGAGTGGTTTTGTCATTTCCTTTCCAACTCATTTTATAGATGAGAAACTGAGGCAAATAGGGATAAGTGACTTGCCCAGGGTCACACAGCCTGTGAGTATGGAATCTTAGCCACCTTGGTCGGGCTCTTTGTCTTTGAATCCCCTGGGCCTCAGTTTCCTCTATAGAAAAATGAGGGGGTTAGAAGATGGTCTTTAAACTCCCCGCCACCCCAACATTTTGTGATCTTATGAGATCCAGCTGTTTGAAGAGGCATAAACAAGTAAGCTAGCACCGTCGTCATAGGGCCGGTGGCTTTCCCCCATGTCCTTCGTGGCTTGCTGCTTTTCCAGGAAACGTTGTATGCCTGTTGATCTGGAACGAGTGCATGAAAGGAGCCTGCTGCCTCCTCCCCTTTGGGTTTGTGGTTCCCAGCTGGCGGTAAAGAGAGGCTTGTGTCCTTCAGAGCCTAGACCTGAATTAGAGATGACCTTTGTCCCACAGAACTGTCCTTTCCCTCTGCCTGGGAACGTTTTGCTGTCACTAGTTTCTTTTAACTTAGACAGCTATGGCCTAGGCTGTGCCTTAAGAGGGGAGGGCTCCCAGTGCCCATGGGCTTGTTTGTTTTTCCCCTTTCCTAAACACGTGTAAGTCTTAGAGGAAGTCTGAGGGGACTTGCATAATGATTAAAGAGTCAGGTGATTTTGGAATACTTGGGAGCCTTAACCCATGCAAGCCTGGCCTTGGTGAAATCGTGCCACTTTTAGCCACCCTGGGCAGAGCCAGGAATCAGGTGACCATCCTTCCCCCACCCAGTGGGTGTCTCTGGAGGGCTGAGATCTGTTTGCATCCAGAGAACTGCTTGCATCACTGAGGGGCTCTCTCTGGTTCCATTTCCCTTTGATCTTTGGATTAAAAGCCATCAGAGAATTAAACAGACCCCGCTGACATCCCCCTGCCCAGCCACGCTGGCTTTTCGCCCATTTGCTAGAAGGACCAGGTCTGCGCAGTGCAGGGTGCTGGCTGCCCCTCCCGGCTTTCGGAATGCCTGCCTCTCAGACTCTGAATGGTTAAGCGCTCCCGGGGTATTTTTAAACAGCAGGGGCCCTTTAATCAGAAAGTGACATTTGCAAAGTGCCTTCTTAGAGAGTCACTGCACACCCTAGCAAGCCAAGCCGTGACCCTCGGAGCAGGATGAGGGCAAGCCGATTGTTATAAGCCAAGCTACCCCGGGGTAAGTCGATAGACCCCCGAACTTCTCTTTGCTGATTCGAAAGGCTGAGTCACAGTTAATGGAAGGTGAGTGAGGTTGATCTTGGCAAAAACATTCTGTTTCGTTCAAGCTGAGATTTCCAGGGGAAAGTTGAATCCTGTTATGTCTAATAAAAACGTCTGTCTGAAAGCTTTACAACAAATGCAGCCGTCCTACTGAGCCAACTGGCCTTTCTGTTACTTACTATAAATGGCTATCGGATTGTCCTCTCCCTTTATGGGCTTCTTACTGAATCCCCAAAGTCTTTGAGGGTACTTCTGGGACGTTTAAATGCTGGTTCTGATCCACGAAATGTCATCAGCTTCTCTAAATGAGTCCAGCTCATAGGAGTAAAAAAAAAAAAAATCGCTTCTACTGGGATCCTGTGTGGCCCACCAGACCAAAGTAACTTCCTTACTGACCCCAGGCCTGTTTGGAAGTACAGAATTCCCCCAGGCCCTTCCGGAGGTTTGCAAGCTAAGTCCTGAGAAAAGCAGCTTTTCAGAAAAGTTTTGTGTTTATGGTGAGATGATCTGTTCCCTGGAGTTCAGGGGTTGGGGTGGAGGGGGATGGTTATTGAATCTGTCTTTCTTTCAGGATAGTACAGTGGGAAAGAAAGTATTCTGTATTGGGAGTTAGGACCCTGGGGGCCAGTCCCATCCCTGCTGCTCCCCACCTGGCAGACCCTGGGCCTGGGTTTTCTCGCATGTAAAATGAAAGGGCTGCTCTAGGTAGGTGCCTCCTAGGGACCTTTCTGGCTCTAAATCTTTGCTCCTGTGACATATGTGGGCTGTGGATTTAATCTCTGTTTGAGATCCCAGTTGGATGTCACAAGAGGGGTTATATCTCCATCCTGTTGGCTATTTAGAACTAGGGATGATAGGATATTCTGCAGGTCAGGCCACAAATCGCCTTTGATTCATGAAGATTTGTAGCCAGGCTACCTGCCCTGGCTTCTCTCAACTTGCCCCACCTTCCCCATGAGCTGAGTACTGGGTGCTCTGGGCTCTATGGTGCTAAGGGAGGAGTAGGAGAAGGAAGTGAGGAGTTCTTTCCTCCTTTCTTGGGTACAGGAGCAGCCCTGGGCAACATTTTGAAATTGGAGGTGGAATTGATCTTTGGCATGCTCTGGCCTCCCTTTCCCCTCTCTTATCTCCTTCTACCGCAGTCTCCCCATGCCCCCATGGTGTCCATTCAGGTCAACCTTGCCTTCCTATTGCTCAATGTTAAAATGCCAGCTAAACTTCATTTAGTGCCAGTCAAAATTCACATGGTACAGAGAAAACAGAGTGAGACTTGGCTTCTGAGGACCTGAGTTTGAATCCTGGCCACTCTGGGCCTGCTTGGGCAAGTCACTTTCACTTTCTGGACCTCAGTTTCCTCATCTGTAAAAAGACCAGGTAATGTCTATGGTACCTTTCAAGTCTGAATCTTATTATCTTCCTCTTCTCCTTCCAAATCAGGATTCCCAAAGCTTCCATGAGGCATCAGCAGTTGGAATCATTCATATTTTAGAGCAAATGATTTCGGTCAATAAACTTCTGATTTATGGACCATTAGACAGACAGTGGAACACAGTGAAATAGAAAAAATTAAGACAATGCTAGGAATGATATTCTAGGGGCAGAGGCAGGCCCCACCTGACTTCTCCCATCTGCTGTTTACTCTGAATGATTATCTTATTGTAGTTTTCTTTTATGGGCCCCTTACTGAGTCCCACAAGCACTTGAGGGTATTTCTGGGACTTTAAATTTCTGGTTCGGATCCAGGAAATGTCATGTGCATTCTAGGGGCAGAGGCAGGCCCCACCTTTTTCATCTAACCCATCCTGAGATTCTCTCAGGCTTTGCTGTTTTCTGTGGGTTCCTAGAATGCCGGCCTTTGATGTGAGGTCAAATCGTACCAACAATTATTAACAAGTTGACCCTGGAGAAATCCTGTAACCTTCAGGAGCTGTTTCCTCATCTATAAGATGGAGGTATCCCTTGTAATAGCCACACCTCATCTGGTCATTGTTCTGCTCAGTGAGGAGATACTGTGTATAAAGCATAATTTTGGCAAACCTAAACATGCTATGGAAACGTCACTGGTACCTATTGGGCCATGTCACGAAACATTTATTAAGTGCCTACTGTGGAGATACAAAGAAAGATAAAAAAGAATGGTCTCTGTTTTTCACAAGTTGCCAATCCAGTGTTGGCTTCCAAAAGCTGTCCGCCTTCTAAGACAAACAGAAAAACCCATAGATGATTTCCAGAATGTTTTTTTTTGGGGGGGGGCATTATTTTTGCAGGAATACATGAACTATTCCTTTCCTGATTTTCCTAAACTACCTTATTCCCAAGGATAAATAGAAATTCACAAGATTGAGAGCAAAGAAGAAAAATGGTAGCCTGGTCTAAGGAAGGGCTCCTTTACAAATTACCCCAAGGCTGGCTTATGCTCTCCTGCCCACCCACCCTGTGCAGTTGTTGGCTGTGTGGGTCTATAATAGTCTCACTTTAAGGATGAGGAAACTGAGGCTCAGAAAAGTTAAGCTTGTCCACAATCACACAGCTCAGTAAGGAGCTGGCGCTCCAATCCAGTTTGGCTCCAGACAGACGGAGAGCTCCTCCAGGGCAGGAACTGGTTTTGCCTTTCTTTGCTTAGCACAGTGCTGGGCACACAGTAGGTGTTTCATCAATGCCTATTGACTTGTTGATTGACTCTAGACCCAGCCCTCTTTGTACCACCCTTCTGGCTACCTTCAGTTTGCCCTAGACCCATCTCCATCTGTGCCCACTTTCTCCTGGCCACAAGCCTGTAAGGGTAGCAGGGCAGAGATTATTATCCGTATTTGTCCAGTGAGCAAGCTAAGGCCTGATCTACCTTACCCAAGATCATCGCCCAAGGGGAAAAAGTGATTGAGACAGTTTAGCCTGGTCACTTTAGGAGAGCCTGCTTTTCATAACACTGCCCATATCTGCTGTCCTGTTGTATCCTCACCACGTTCTGAGATATCTGTGACCAGGGTGGTACCTGTCCCCATTTTATGGATGAAGCAGTGAAGGGCCAAAGGTCACAGAGCTGCCTCGAAACTGCTTTTGTGTATGCTTGACACAGCTTCTAGCAAATAATAGAGATATTAGCTCATTGGAAAGGCACCTTCTGTCCTTCCCGAAGACAAGTGTGTCAGCTACATGTGAAAAGTCTTTGCAAGAAAGCAAAGGACATCCGGTTCCAAATTGGTTCTGAACTTGGGGGAAGAAAAGTGAGGAAGATCCTCCAGATTAGGGATCAATTTACTTTTTGCATCTGTATTTCCAGTGCCTAGCTATCACTTAGTCAACAGGCTTCTGTTAAGCACCTACTATGTGCCAGGCAGGCTATAGAAACAAGTAAAAAGAAAGATCCTGCCCTCAAGGAGCTTACTTCTAATGGAAAGGCAGTGCATAAAAGGGGGAGTGGTGGGTTCCAGAGGAGTACCCCCTGCTCAGAAGTGAAGAGAGGGCTCGCTTGGGCAACGTCCTTCAGTGGAGGTTCTGGGAAGAGCCTTCCAAGCTGTGACTTCCAGAGCTGAAGATGATCTTCCAGGATGAAGAGTTTTTGGGGCATGATGGAGAAATGCCGAGGAGGGCAGTGCACAATGTCTGGCATCTAGTAGGTGCTTTAATAAATGTCTATTGATTGTTTGGTTGATTGGTTGAAACAGCCAAGATATCATCAAGGGAGCTTTAGGACGGTGACGATTGCAATAATAACTCACATTTTGTAGTGCTTTTAAGTTTGCAGTGACAGCCATGTGAAGGGTGTAGAGCAGAAATGGATATTCCCATTTTATAGATGGAGAAGAAGCTCAGAGAGGGTTAGGGAGGGGCCCAGGCTCACTCGAATGGGAGTTTGGAGAAGCCTTAGAAGGCAGTGGGTCCCCTGGTCAGGCAGCGGAAGTGTTTTAAGCTTTTCCCAGTGAAGGAAAGACATCATTGCTTGGTATTAGTTTAGTCCTCTGATGCCTGGACCAGGGCATGAGCTAATCAAGCTTTCCAGTTCCCCAGAGTTGGGCTTCCCGTTTCCTTTCCCTCCCCCTCTCCTACTTTGGTGTGGATTCTGAGGTTCAGAGTCAGAAAAGATCTTAGAAAGCTTCTAGTGGGACAGCTCGGTGGTGCAGCGGAGAAAGCTCCAGCCTTGGAAGTCAGGAGGACCGGTGTTCAAATCTGGCCTCAGACACTTGACACTTTCTAGCTGTGTGACCCTGGGCAAGTCACTTAACCCTGACTACCTTATCAAAAAAGAAAAACAAAAAGAAAGAAAGAAAGCCTCTAGCCCCACCCCCTCCTTTGTAGATGAGGAAAGGTCTTGTTCAAGATCATACTGAGTTAGTAAGTAGCAGGACCAAATCATCCCCCTCTCCATGCCCAGTGATGTCGAATTTAGGCTGGTTTCCCCAAAGAGGGAGCATAAATATGGTTAATATTTATAGTATGATATAATCCACATATTCATTCAATATCATTCATTCATTCATTCTTCTTGACAAACGTTGTACGCAAGGCTATGTGCTTGGTAGATACTTAGTTATAATGCCCCAGCCTTGCCGATGCTAGTTGTCATAGGTTCCAAATCTTTTAACATCTCTCTGATGTATTTCTCTGAAATGAAGTTTTCTTATTCTCTTTCTGGCGTGACTACCTCAGTCCATCGACAAGCATTTATTAAGCAGCTACTATGTGTCAGGGACAGTATTAGAAATAGAAAAAGGGGGACAAAAGCAGTCCCTGCCCTCCAGGAGCTTCCGTTCTGATGACAAAGACCTATACAGATACATACACAGGTATGTACGATATATATGCAAATGTTTAGGAGGTGAGGGGGGTGAATGGGGACGAGGAAGTGCCAGAGTCTGAAAGGAATGAGGGCTTTTGAGGGGTGGGCAGTGAGGAGGGTGGGAGGTCATTTCAGGCCTGGGAGGTAGCCAGGGTCAAGACGCCTCCAGAGGCAGGAGGAACACAGTCTTAGAGCTGGAAGGGACCCTAGAGGTCCTTAAGTCCATTCTCGTCAAAGGTGGTGG